TTTCTGAGCATTTAATTCTATTTAACAAAACCATTCATAAAAGAATAAAAAAAGATGAAATTGTTCAAATGGTTTTGAATATTTCTCTCACAACTAATTTTTAACGCTTTAGCTTTAATCGTTTTTTGTCCAAGTTTATACTATTTGACTTTCCACTATTTATCTTTCCTTTGATTTTGACAGCGACTTTCGATCTATTTTGCTATATTTTTATGAGAAATGAAGCAATTCATAGTTCTTTCCCTAATTTGCTCCGCAAAGATGAGGAGATTTGAGGAGACGATCCAGCAAACCGCTCGAAATTTCACGGTAAAAAGAATCTGCATTAACTGTCCATAAACCAGACTTAACCAATTGATAAAAAAGTAACCATATTATCAGATCTGAAAAATCTACAGGTTCGTTTTGACACAGGACAAGTAAAAAACAGTAGTCAGTAACCCATTTTTTTAAATGAAAAATTCCGAAGCAGGAGGTCTTTTATTTCCTTATATACATAAGCCACTTTCGGCTAGAGTCATGTAATGGTGCAAAAAAGTCTAAAGATACATCACAGAAATGAGATCAGTAAAAGCATATAGTTGGAACGATAGTCACTCTTTTCGAAATCTGGAAGGTAAATAATGCTCCTCTTCCTTCCAATTCGTTTCTTTTTCTCCTTTTTCCTGCTTTTCCTTTTCGCGTACTGCTTTCCACATTTCTATATCGCGCCAATCAGCTTTTTCGAAATCGGGCCTAGGATTGTGTGCCGGAGGAGGTGGGATTTCCTTCTTCGGTTTTCCAAAATTGAAATGTTCATTACCACCATAGATTTCCTCTTCCTAAAAGTACACAATATGTTAAACAGGTGAAGAATCATCACGTAAACTCATATAATGAAGCAAGTAAAAAAAATAACAATGAAATGCATGAAAGGAATAAGAAAGCATAAATTAATAGGATTAATTAAGATTTAAGAAAAAATAAGAAGTAAAGCAACACAAAATTTTGCAATGAAAAATTGTGCCTGATAGGAATACACTACCTTAACCGGTCCTAAATCTATTAATTTTTTCTGCTTTTTCCAAGATGCATCGTCCTCAATCTTTTTATCCAGCTCCAACTGTTCTTCTTTAAGTTTACGCTTGCGCCGTTTTTCCTCTTTTCTGGCCTTCTTTGTTTCTTTCTTTAATCTCTTCTGCTCTTTTCTCAGTTTCTTTTCCAGAGTTTTATCCACTTTCATAACACCATTCTGCAAAATATGCAAGCAGTTAAAAAAAAAATGATCACTTAAAAATTAACATGGAAAATTCTGAAATGATAAAATCAATAAATGGATATGAAAGACGACAAATATCAACATGCTGCTAACAACAAAAATTATGCGAAGTTCCCTCAAAATTCATTATGATTGTGTGGACGCGTGACCCACACTCGCAGCCTTCCACTCTTATCTCTTTATCCAAGAAGGAAAACCACACATAGATGATACACTATTCCCCAAACTTACATGAGAATATTTTGACAAAGAAACAAAAAAACTAACCTCGTCAACTGCTTCCTTTTTCAATGTCTCAACTGGATCTACGTCTTCCACATCATCTTAACAACAGAGAAACGGTTCATTAAATAATTACAGTCATAATTAATCAAATAGAGTCAAAGTTTAAGATTCACTCAAAAAAAAAATATTGCTTTCAGCTATAAATTAATGCAAAACCTTGTTGTATAGGAATTGGTTTCGGAGCGCAACCATCTTCCCAAATTCGCCGTGTTTCTTCGTCGATGTCCTCACGATATTTTGGAACTTTGTACTCTTCCACATGATCTACATGTATAATTCGCTTCAACAGCTGTAAACAAATGTTGAGATCTTAGTGCTTAATATATATATATATATCATTTATATTACTCTTGATTCATATGAGTAGAACAACGATAGTCTTTCAATCAAAAATCACATTTAAATTTTTAGAACTGTAACTTTATAGTGAACCTTAATTCCATTGAAGTTGTCAACAGCTAAAATAGTTGATCGTTGGTCTTCATAACAGACAAATGCGAAGCCTCGTGATTTTCCACTTTTACGATCCCGAATCAAATTGATGTTCACGATTTCACCATATCTAAAAAAATATATTCAAATCACTAATGTATTCATTTTGGAATTAAACTGCACTATAATAACGAGAAAAAAAACAGACATATAATGGCCCAACACCAGGAGATAATGTGATGAATGAAAAAAAATGTAGTTACTGCAATAGAGCTTTTAAGTGACAAAAATTTGAATAAAGTGATCTGAAATAACTCCTCCAAACAATACATTATATCGAAATACTACCGAACATAAATTTTCTTATTGTCCTTTTTTTTCCCACAGCACAATGCATTAAGAATAAGCATCCTATTCCAAAGAGTAACTATTTATTTTATCATCAAAGCTAAACGCGTAATTTTGCTTCCAGAACTTTATACTAATTTTAACTGATATTGCTCGCTCATAAATAGCAGTTATTTAACTTCATCGCACATATTTTTGATGACCATTTTTATATGTAATAATTTCTCCAAAAGTCAAAACAAAAAAATGATCATTCCACGAGATGAAACGAAAAAAAGCCAAGTAAATTAATTAGAAAAATAATGTGCAAGGGAAATTATAAATTTCGTAAAATGTGTCGCATTTGGTTATAAGATATAAGATCAAGTATTAATTTCACTATAAACATAGTTCAAACCGTTTTACTACCCAACGTCATATGTTTATGCTGAACTACGAAACTCTGTAAAATCTGAATAGAAGCTCAAAAGGAAGATAGTAACTGCAGTAGGGACAAAAATAACAGCTTGGCTCATAAAGCTATTCTGAATTCGGCAATAAATATTTTTGCACGAATGACTAAAAAGAATTTTTTAATAATTTACTGAGAAAAAACAGAAATAATGTCGCCTTCGTTAAGATCAAACGGCAAGCCACCAACATATATCCACGCTGAATCGGAATATTCCTGATGCCAGCTTTTGCTGCTACTTCCAGTAAATCCAAGTAACAGTTCCCGTTCATTAATTTTATTCTGCTTCCGGATATTCGTCAGTGGATTCATTTTTCCTTAAATACAATGACAACTTTGCAAGCAATATATATTCTTTCTCTACTAAAGCTGTTGAAGGCCAATCTATGCTAATTAACTGATAAAATTACCACACATACTTCACACTATATTTCTTCAGCCATCATTATATTTTCAATTCTCTTCAATCAATTACTCCTTTATTTCCTCTGCTATTTCTAATTTAAAAACCGTAGCTTCTTCTTAATTTCCCTCAACTCATTATTTCTACATTTCTCTCAATCTATTGGCACACTCGCATCAATCCCTTCTGCCTCTCCCCACTTTTCCTATTAAACCCAAGCAACTCCAACGAACTGAAAACACCAACTGGCAAAAGAAAACGAACAGAAAACTGCGGTAACACACGGCATGTCAAAGTGCAACTTTCGTCTCAGTGAAGCTATCATTTGCTTGCGATGCTGAAAGGGGTGTTAAATTTCAAATCAGTTGATCTGGGTCATATACCGATTTGCAATGTAAAATTATTTCATAATTTATCAACCATTTTATGGTTCATCAGACGATTTTTTTGCAGGGGAATTTAAAATCATCCAAGACAAAAAATTGAGAATTATATACAATCTTTACGCTATCATCCTTATCTTTTGCCTATACTTCAGTGCAGCTCCTTGTTACAGTGCAACAATGCACTACCAAATGATTGTGCAGTTATAAGTGAAAAAAAAGTTCTACTTGGAATGATGAAGAACGAGGAGAAAAATGAAGATGTGCAGGAAAAACTGGGCTGAATGCATTTCAAAAAGTTTTGTGACCCAATGACAAATTGAAATTATACAGATAGAATGGCATTTATGGATATTTTCAGAGGTATCAAATGCAAGGAATTCCTTGGTAATATGCGCCTCGGGCTTCAATTCAGGAAATCTGTACAGAAATGGAAGCTGAAACTATTTAAAGCAAACAAATATCAAGCTAAGGAATTTCCTCTATTTAATACTGGAATGGCTCTTATCGAAATAAATTCGATCTAAGTAAAAAATTTTGCTTAAAAAGGCCTGGAAGACAGGCATGAATTTGCAAATTTCTGGGATGGATAAAATGAATTGTATGATTAGGATTGGTTCGTAAAAGCATTAACAAAGATTACTCAGAAACTCCAGGATATTGGAAAGAAATAGAGTGTTAGCAGGCTAAGTTGGTTTGTGTGGAGTAGAGACATAGGTTGTTTCAAGTATTAAACCGAAAATCGACTAATTTTTTGAAAAAATCCTACCCTTTCAATTCTTTCACAATTTATAATTATTTCCTTATCGCTTTTCCGTTTATTTCTCTATTTTGTCCAGATGCGTAATTTAGTGCCATTAGAATTTTGTAATACAGGAAGCAATTAAATAGAAATATATCTGAGGGAAAAATGACGGAAAACTTTTGAGTGAGAATTTCGAATAACCCTCAATGTCATACGATAACTTCGTAAATTTTTTGAATTAATCATAAGTTGAATTTAGTTATGAATTCCTTTGTAAATATTCGATTTCATACTTCCGAACACAGAGACGTAAATAATATATCGAAAGTACCATCATAGGCTATTATAGTGAACGCAATTAGATTCATTGTGGTGCTTCATTTGATGAAATAAGGAGGTGAATTCTGTTAGGCACTAATAATTCTCTACCATTGGCAAAGCATTCTCTATCATTACTAAAGCATTTCTCTTTCATTGGCAAGGGATTCTCTATCATTATTAAGGCATTATTCTTCGACATTAATTTGCTGCTTTTAAGGTACTATATTAGCTTGGATAGTAATGATGAACTTTGACTGAGAATAATCACGTAGAGCTGGAAAGTTCACGTCCCACGAAAATCCTGACTCAAATCCTCGTTCTCAAGATATTTCACTAACATCTACGGAAATCTCGAGGAACCCCTTTTAAGAGCATTGGTAGAACGATTGAAATCAATCATGCAGTTCTATGAGTCAAAGGTCGTTGACCTTATGTCTATATGTTATTGCATGGAAGTAACTTTACATTGTTGGAAAAGTCGAATTTTAGGCACGTCCTCAATTTTCTCATTTTTCTTTTCTCTAATGCAGTGGTTTCAATTAATGCATTTCATGTTTTATCCCCTCCCCCTCTTCTCTCTGTAATTTTCGTTGTGTTTCTTCTCCTTTTTTTAACAACGCTTTATGCTTAACCGTTTTTTTCATCACTATCCATTTAAAGCTACCGGATAATATGGGATGACTTCCGGAGTTGCTATAAGAATTATTGCATTGCACAATTCCATTTCCTTTTTTTTTGATTTTTAAATTTTTTTTCGGAATGTTATTCTTTCTTTTGCGCATTAAATTTAGTTTCTAAATGTTATTCGAATTTTTGATCCAATTCCTCTTGTTATTCTCTTTTTATTAAGCAGAATTGAGTCAAGAAATTTGCTGCTTCGTGATGGTTTTGATAACAGGAAATCTTGTCATTCTAGAAAAGCGATTTATCTGACTTCTTTGCCGTACTGGTGCTGTATAAGGATGATACGGCGGAGACGGCTAAAAAGTGATGGTGATAAGACTGTACAGACGCTCTTTGTTCCATTTCAACATGTAAATAATGAAGAGAAAAATTCTTGTCTAAATGACGAGTCACTGAATCCACCAAAACTTACTTCACAACTATCCGATGTCGATGATGTTGGCGACGAAAGTGACACATCGAACATGTTAGTCATCACTAAATGATTTTTATTTAGCTATCATTAACACTAACAGAATGTTGTCACGACATATTTTGAGTTAATTGCAACTGATTCATTTCATTGGTATCATTTTTCTATTTTCAGTAGTTATCAACCATCCATTTAAAATAATTGTTTTCACTCTCCTCTTATCCAAAATAATTGTTGTTAGGAATAGTAGCGGAAGTTAGCGTGAGATGACTAACGGTATATCGGGGGAATTCTATCCTTAGTCATCGCATTATTTTGCTTTATCTACTTTAAATTTACCCGAAACTTCTCTCTATCTCTTTGTTCATATATTGCTATATTATATTTGTTGTCAACTTTTAAACCTGTTTCTTAAGTAAGAAGTTCGTCAGATTATAAGTTGCTTTAATTAGCTATTTAAATCATTCTTCGGTTATTTAAATCATGGAGATGTGGGCATATTAAATTTTGTAAAAAAAAATTAATGTAACAATTAGTTTTTCGTCAATTTTATCGATACTTGTCGATAAAATAATTTAAATGTTTTTTTAAACATCTATATTATTAAATGAACTTATCATTGTATATTTCGTGGTATGTAATCAATTATTTTCAGTGGTAAAAAGCGCCGAAAATATACAGGACGTGAGCTGGATTGTATACATTATCGACTTATCAATGAACGTGTTGTAAACGACGTCACTTTGGAATTTTTTTATAAACCGCGTACAATCACGGTTCTTGTTATCATTTGTGCGTTGCTCATTATTCCTGCATTTAGTAGGTAATATGCTACTACAATTTAATTTGCATTGTCTTAAGTTATTTCTAGTTCAACAAGTCAGTGCTTGGAAATATCTTATTCATTTGCTTATTTTAGTTTACTCATTGATCATAACGATTCCATGATTCGTTTCATTGTTTAAAAAAAGGGTTGTTATTTAAAATCTGTTAGCGGATTTATTGATTATTTAGTTAAGAAAGTTTAGCTAGTATTATTAAGGCTAGAATTGCATAAATGAAGGACATTGAACATTCCAGGAATGATGACAATTCAGGAATTAATGTTTCTGCTGGTATTACCGCTGCAGCTGTTTTATTTCTAGTTGTCAGTGGTCTCACATTTCCAAATGGTAAGCTTAATTATCCTTTTCTTTTCTTTTTTGTTTGATTATAAATCAACGATATTTTTCAAAGGAATTTCAGGTCCGTTTATTCGTCCGCATCCGGTTTTCTGGCGCATTATTTTTGGTATGAGTGTCTTGTATACATTAATGCTTCAGTTTGCATTGTTTCAAAACTTTCGTGATATAAAAGATGTGCTGAAATGGCTTGATCCACAAGGTTTAAATAAGGAAAAATTGGATGAAAAAGTAAATTTTTCCTATATTCCGAATCATATTGGAATTTTCTGGTGATTCAAAACTGGTTGAAATGATGTTTTAGTTAGGTTACGCTGCTATTGCCTTATACATTTGGATAATGATGCAAAAATGTATGTATTATTCTCGATCAAATGACCCTTGTCAGTATCGTTGGACGAGTCATTTATAGTCAGCAATTTCTGTTAAGGCATATGCCGTTAATTGTTCTGATATCACATTGGAGCGACTGTGGAGCCACATGGATATATTTGCCATTGGCCATTTTGTTGGTTGGGCAATGAAAGCTTTACTTATTCGCCATTCTATTATATGCTGGTATATCAGTATCGCCTGGGAATTAACCGAGGTACTTGTTCTAGAAAGCAATTGGTTTGCCTTAATTTAGCCTCAGACGAGTTCTTTTTTGCTCATTAATTTGGTTTGATATATTTATTCAATTTTTTCCATACTTTTAGTTGAAAAAATTTAGGTATTATTTGCTCATTTGCTACCAAACTTTCAAGAATGTTGGTGGGATGCGATTATTTTGGATATTTTAATGTGCAACGGATTGGGTATATGGTTTGGCATATGGCTGTCACACTTTTTTGAAATGCGACAATTTCATTGGGAAAGCATTAAGTAACTTACTATATTTAATTTTCAATAGTTGTAATATCAATATATAAATTAAAAAATGTATTTTTGTTAACAAATTCCGGTAATGTTTATTGATTTAGATTAATTTAAATTTCCAGAGATATTAAAACAGCGCGAGGTAAGTTCAAACGGGCTGTGCTTCAGTTTACTCCAGAAAGTTGGATGAAAGTGGACTGGTACAATAACTGCGCTCTGAGGAGAACGCTGGCAATTTATGCATTTGTCTTAGTTTGGCTGGTATGCTTCACTTTACACCGGAATTGTGAAGTCGGAACTTGTTTTTGGAAATTTTCTCCGCTTAACTATTACGCTTAATCTTCGGTGAGATCTTTTTCAGTGAAATTTGATTTTCAGATAACGGAATTAAATACTTTTTTTCTGAAGCACATATTCGCGGTGGACACATCACATTCGTTAGTGTTTTCAAGAATCCTTTTAATCGCTTTCGTATCAGCTCCAACGATACGGCAATTTTATTTATTTGCAACCGATCCACGAATCAAACGTATGGGTATGCAAAGCTGGGTATATTTGGCTATTTGTACTTTAGAAGCATCGATTTGCATCAAATTTGGGCGACCGCGGCTTCCTCGTGTTAAACTAACGCTGATTGGTTTATGGATCTGTTTTATGGTTTGTTTTAATCAGTTACTTTAAGTTATTGTAGGAATGTTAGAATTATTGTAACGATTTCAGTAGATTTCCCAAAACATTCTTTTTCAAATTTTCTTCGTTATTATGATAATTTTTAGGCTGTTGGTACATTTGTATCCGTTTGGATGTCGATATGGTGGGTAAAAACGTTCGCGGTTAGTGTATGGTTTTTATCATTCTGCAATTCATAGACCAGAAGTATTTTTTCTTGATAAATCTAATCTCGTTCCGTTCCGTTTCTACTTCAATTTTCTTCATAAATTTCCTATTTAAATTTCTCATCACGCCTAATCGGATAGTAACATTCTTTGTTGCTAGGGAACAATAATTCGCCCCCGAATTATTGTCCCACAACAATTCTGTTTTATGTTAGTAAATATACGAGAATGATTTATGAGACCAATTTGCTGTAACACTAATCGAATTGAACTGTTTTACTTTATTGTTGAACAGGGTATTTCTCGTTGATGCATATATTCTTTGTTTCAGAAAACGAAAAAAGTGAATATAAATGGCTGCTTACGGGATTGCTACCTAGATTCGAGCCATGAAAACCTCGGCACACTCACTGACGAGGTACAGGCACGTCGAAAACGATTGAATATATCCGAATCATATTTAACCTGATCAAATAAATCCGAGTGGAGGAAACTGTTTTTATGTGAACATACGTCTTTTATCTATTTTAACTTTTTATCAATTTAACATAAAATTTAGTGTCTTGTCACCCTAATCACAATCAATTTTATATGCCAATAGTAGTGAAATCCTAATCCTGCAGTTTCAACTGCAATGTTGGATCCATTGGATTTAAAGACATTGGTAATCCGTAAGCCTGATTTATTGTATAATATGTTTATGGTTCTCTTTAGCAAATCTAAAAGTAAAACTTGTTGTTGAAATATGAAGTGTATAATGCCACTAATCTTATTAAATGAATTACTTTTCTGTATTTCATGTACATTTTAACGTCAGGAGTCAACGTCAAAGAGTCAACACACTTGCTGTACCGGTTGCTATTAGGTGTTTTATTCTTGAAGTAAAACAATGTAATACAATGGAGCTAATAGATTAATAATGTTGTTTTTGCTATGTTTCTGTTATCTATTCTAATTTCGCAAATGATAACATACTTGCTGTATCCGCTTCCTATTAGGTGTTTCACTTTTCATCATTCATTCATGTTTCTTTTTGCATTCAATTTCTTGTATGGAAGTTGTTTTCTGTAGATACCGCATACCGTCATTATATTGTAATCTCTCTTCTGTTAAAAAATATTCCTACCACATTTTATTCGCTCATACGTGTCTCGTCACCACCTTATTTTTAGTTTTTTTTCAAGTTAATTATTAGTTCGGATCATTAATGTGAATGAAAACGAGTGATTTCTGAATGTTCCTCGTTTTAAAAGTAGAAAGATATTGTGGAATAGGATCGTAACACGTACTTCAAGTGAGGCAGACTTAAATAAATTCGGCACGATCTAATGTGACAAATATCGTGTTAACAGTACGACATTCAGAAAGTATCAGTATAGTACTTGAAATCTTTGAAACTCCTAATTATCATGTCATGGTCTGAATTTCTTTGCACAGTTTCATATAGCACTATACTTTGTTATTTGTATTTGCGTTAGCTGGATTTTAGAGTGCTTTAGGAACGCTTAATGTTGGTAACCTAAAAAAACTATTTCTTCCAATACATTTCAGATGGAAAAAATTTGTCATCAGTCATGAGCATTAAAGAGAGATATTAATAATGTTGAAGACTTCACCGTGTGCTCTTCTGCTGGTTAATTCTACTAGAAGTTTCTGCTGTGAACAAACTCGTGATGAAGTTCGTGTACGTTTCGCTCCTTCCCCAACCGGTAATTTGCATTTGGGTGGCCTAAGAACGGCACTTTACAACTTTTTGTTTGCTCGATCTCAAGGAGGTAAATTTGTTTTGCGAATCGAGGATACCGATCAGCAACGTTTGGTGCCTGGTGTAGTGCAGCAGGTTTGTGTGTTAATATGTCTTTTTTTTTTATTTATTTTAGTAGTTAGGGAAGGGAAAGTCGAAATTCAATTTAGTTGCGTCGGACAATTATTGTTTTTCATGCCTTTGCAAACGTTGTCTTCGAGAATTTCGAAATCATATAGTTAAGTAGATCAAATCTATAATTGTTTTATTCAGATAGAAGCGACATTGGACCGGTATCAGCTTTTTCGGGATGAAGGTCCTTCTAACAGTGGAAAATTCGGACCATATTTTCAATCTGAAAGAAAAGCGACTTATCGGGATGCTGTTGAGCAACTTATTGATAGTGGTAATGCATATCGATGTTTTTGTACGAAAACAGTAAGCATTTCTGGGTTAAATTGGTTAAATAAGCTAAAAACTGACATAATCGTAATTGTGAAATCCTGTTGCGTCCGAATGTTTTGCATCATTAAGTACAAATAGTCTATCGTTTTCTCTTCTTTTAATCCTTCTGATTTTTTGTCTTTTTTAATCAGTTCTCAGCAAAAAACATTTCGTCACTTATGTTTTGTCAGAAATAAAACACAGTTTGGAATAAACTGTGTAATTTCCGATAACTGATTCATTTTTTCCGTTAGCAAATAATCTTGATTTGTTCTTAAAATTTCAATTATTAATTTTTTTGTAAAATTTTTATCAATTTTCATATTTTCAGGGCCTCTTAAAGCTTCCAAATTTCATGTCTATATTACTGTGACATTTAAGCGCTTGGATATGCTACGTCGGGAGGCGGTTAGACGTCATGAAGTGCCCAAATATGATAACCATTGTCGTGGATTGACTGATGAAGAAGTTAAGAAGAAACTGGAGAGTGGTGAGAATTATGCTATCAGATTCAAGTTAGAACGAAAGGAAATATATTTCGAGGTGATGATTGTTAACTTTTCCGAAACTTTTGCGTTTTCCGAAATAATATCTTAGACATTTTTTATGATAATTTTCCTACATTTCGATTTGTATATCCTGAGATATGTTTTCTTTTTTTAAACAATAATTTTAAGGATCAAATTTTTGGTGAAATCACACAGAATAGCAATGAAGGAGATTTTATACTGATGAAGACTGATTCATTTCCAACCTATCATTTGGCAAATGTTGTTGATGATCATCATATGCAAATCAGTCATGTGATACGTGGTTCCGAATGGCTTACATCTGTTTCGAAGCATGTACAACTTTATCAGTAAGTAATCGGTTACGACAAAAGACTGTAATTTAGCAAATCTGATAGACTAAGTATGTCCGATTTATGATATGAATGACTGCAAAGCAGTAAAATATTTGTTGACTTTAATATATGGTAGTGAAGGGTACATATATTTCGAACAGATAAACAAAGAATTTATAAACAAATAGATTGACCACTAATTGCTAAACAAATACATTTATCATTTTTTATGCTAGAATTTTTTACGACAAATATAATTGACTGGCTTAATTATTTTTGTTTCTGAATTTTCAATTACAGGGCCTTTGGATGGTCGTCTCCTGTGTGGATTCATCTTCCATTGCTGGTGAGAAGTAGTAAAAAGAAACTTTCAAAACGTGACAAGGTTTGTTTGCAGCTTTAATTTTTATTTTTCTGTTATAAATTGCGAAGTATGATGAAATTTTTTGAAAGTTAAAATTCCGGAATGTTTCAAATATGAGTATTTTTATCAGTTATGCTTATAGGATGCTTTTGTGGGATTTTATGATATCGACAGAGGGTATTTGCCAATTGCAGTGCTGAATTATTTATGTCGAAATGGAAGTGGTATTAAAGATTTCGATGTATCGAAGCTATATACGCTGGATGAGATGATAAGAAAGTTTGACTTTCATTTAATTGGAAAGCGAAATATAACGGTATGTTCGAAAGTATATAGTTCATATTTAAAATGTATAGCCTATGATCTTTCTGTGCATTATAAAAATTTTACTGAACATATAATCAAACAGGGGTAAGATATGTATTTCGAGTTTGATGACTTTAATTGATTTGTCTCTCAAACGCAGTTTCTTGCAGCACTATTATATTTAGTAATAATTATGGTTGATCTCAAAAAAGTTGCAGTAATTCTAATTTCAACATCTTTAGTTAGATCAATTGGCTCTTGACGCATATGGTTATAAAGCGATTCAGAATGCTGACGTTGATGAGCAATTGGTGCCAGAAATTATGAGACGTCTTCAGAGGACATTTCCAGGAACTCCAGCAAAATTGAATGTCGATCCCGATTATGTGAAAAAGGTGCTCGATTTATTCAAACGAATGAATCAAAAGTTATGTTATCTGGAACAGTTAACCGATAGTGACTTCAAATATTACTTCTTACGACCAACTAGCCCGGAAAAAGCGGTTTCTTTGTTTGATCCGCACATGATATCGTCCATTCTCAATGGTTTTATGGATTGCGGAGATTGGAACCTGGATTACATAAAAACGCTGGCTTCCACACATGGTATCGAATGTGCCCAAATATTTCAAATTATACGTTTAGCATTAATCGATTGCCAAAGCGGACCACCGATTATGGAGCTGTTTGAATTCTTCGGAAAAAATGAATGTTTAAAGAGATTTTCGACTATGGTTGGAATGTTAAAAGAATCGAATTTGTCATCAACATCAACAGTCTAACATTTGTTTTGATTTTCTATTTTTGTTCACTCGATTGCTACCATACCAATGTTGATTTTGTGCAGTTCCTTTACCCTTTCAGGTAAATCCAGACGAGTGTTGTTCCAATTTAAAACTTAACGGAAAATGCTTTGAAAAAAATGAAAAATTTATAATAAAAGATAAAAATGACAAATATGAGAAAGACCTGCAACGATCAAGTGATGCCATCGGTAAAGTAAAAAGGGCTTGGTAATTAAAAGAATCACATGTTTCCTAATGAATTAGTGAAAATGAAATTATTTTGTTCCATTTAGATTGTTTGATTTGTTCGTTATTTAAAATTTCTTATTTAAAGAAAGCCATAGTCATCACGATGAAGTAAACGTTTGAAGCTGACTTATCAATTGCATCATTAATGGACAATTTTCCGTTGATAATTTCGAAATTTTAGTTATTTTCCACGTTCATTTCGAGGGCACTGGTGATTGATTGATTTCAAATACTAAAATTTCTTTTATCGCTTGGAAATTTATTTGAGCAGAAGAAAAAAGAGTTGAGAAAACAGCGGTAGCTTTGAAGAACTGTTGAAAATAGTTTTCTTTTTTAGTTTATTTGATGTAATTAACGAAAGGCATAATTTTATAATATACAAATTTTCAAATGTTAAAATATTCTTTTTTCAAAGATGCAATTATAGCTACAGTTGGATATAACCGTAATATTTTACATTATCCAGTGATCCACTGAACACTGTAACTTAATAGAATTTAAAACTTCAGGGATATGAAAATTTTCATTTTTTTCTCGACTTACACATTTGAAGTGTTCTTGTATTTTAAAGAATAATGCTTTGTAAATTCAAGTTTGTACCCTTTTTAAAATTTGAAGTGATCGCAATTATGAGAAAAACAGTACGACGAAGAGCGCAACGAGTAGGATGAATTTGACGTATCCGGGTTGTGCGTCAGAAAATTATACACGTGATCTACCACCTGCCTGTAGTAATGACGTCACCATCGAATAGTGCTTTTCTTATGTATTGCTCAATGAAATACTTTTTCCAGAATTCTGGTATCATTCTCTTCCACGCATACCAATGATATATATAATGTTCAGAGCAAAAGTACATGTGACTTTCCGATACAAATTCGACTTTTCTTTTTGAGTGTTTGAGTGTTAAATGCATAGTGTTTTCTGGCAACATTTATTTCTCAAAACATGTTTACCACTAAAATAGCGCTGTTTAAGCGAATTCAGATCATCGCACTTCCATGCCTTTCCCATTCGGGTCTTGTTAGTGTTCCCCAGAACTTGCTTCTCCTTCTAAGATCAAAACGTTATGCAATGATAAGCAACGAAAACTTGCTTCCCCTACTAAAACCAGAGCGATAAGCAACGAATTCGCCCATTTCTTCGTCCTCTATACCTTTTCCTAGCTGGTGACACAATTAGCGAACGAAACATTTTTGATTTTCAGGTGAGGAGAAGTTTATGCTACAATTCTTTCTTATACATCATTCTGCTTGCTGTGTTCATGGATGTCAATCTTAATTGATTTCTTTTGTCGTACATTATTCTTAAACACAATTTGTTGATATTATTTTGCCGTGATTGTGCTATTAGAGATTTTATCGTCTTTTAAAGCGATTAAGATATTTAACACATTGGTGGTATCGTTTACTGCTGTAATTGTTGCAGATATTTAGATGAACAGAACCAGAATCCCTTCATTTCAAGTCGAAATACGGATGGATATTCCAATTCCAATTTGAAAGTAACTATCGAGTTTGGGAAGGAAACATATCCTAATATCAATAATCATATATGTTGAAGTACGTGCTTAATTTGAAGCGCTGAAACGAATAATTTTTGATTTGATTTAGATAAACATAAGGTCATTGTAAATTTTGATTATTTATTGTCAGCTGTGCACATTGGTATGCTGATTTTTTGACAAATGATCCCTGATCAGTTCTGCGTAATCATTATGGTTATTTTTCATAGTTTCAATAATGTCTGCCTCAGTTGGTGAATTTTTGTTCATACAAACTATCACATATCCATTTTAATAATTGAAAGAGATTGTTTTGGATAGGATATACGATTGGAGTAGAGGAATATTTAGCGCAAGAACGTAGTAATAAATTGAACTTGAATAGTAAATTGTCAGCTTGCAAATTATTCCATATCGAATGGGCACTTTTAATGAATATTTTGCACTAGATTTTCTGGAAATGTGATGCAAAGACGGAATATGTGATAAGCTTGAAGATGAATGATAAATGTGATGATTTGTATTGGTAGAGTTTAGAATGATGGTAAGCTACTAAGAATACTTAAGAAGGAGGCATGCAACTCCACGCCATTTGAACTTTAGTTCTGTCAGTGTTGTTTTAATGTTATTTGAATTGAGAATTTTTTATTGGCATTATTTTATTGGTAGATATATTAGATATCAAGATTTTATTGTTCTTGTGCTATTGTTTATTATAATATGTATGAAGCAAAAAATATTCGTGGCGATTTTCTATTAGGCGTTACTGTATGGTACATAATTATTTCCAGGTAATTTCAGGATTGTGGATTCGACATGAATAAGAATAGGTGGTGAAGTTGTTTTTGCACTTATTTGCATTTCCATTTCTCTGGTGTTCAATTGATTATACTTTTTTGACTGTGTAACGAAGGCTACAAGTATGCTAGACGGTATGTGGAGATGGCGAAGTATAGTGGATCGACTCATGTACAGTGTATACATTTTGCACATATATATCGGACTGCTTACACGCGATAGAGCATACGGCAATGAAAAAATTGATAGAATTGCCCTCAGGTAATTTTGAATGGACTATAAGATTATTCAGTCAATCTCTTGAATTGCCGGGAAAACAAAGTTGGGTAGTGTTTTTAAAACAACATCAAGTGTACAATATACATTTTGATGCTTGCACAATAAGTTAAGATGGTATGAAGGAAGAACAGTCGACTGTTTGATAATTTTTGCAATATTTTACATCTCCATATAGGAATGCGCACTATGATCATCGGTATAAAATAATTAATGGCGCAAGCCGTCCCAACTTTTCCCAAATTTTTTGACCTTCATAACTTTTTGATACTTCATCTGCGTATACTTTTGCGTGATCCGATGCAATCAGTAGGCAGTACTGAAATATGATGAGCATGTTCCGATATTGCAGAGTTTAATAACTCCAATTTGATCATTTCTGGGGAATCAAAAGGTTTTGTATCTAAAACCTCCCTTTGTTCTAGAATTATTTCCTTTTTTGCTTCGCTCTTATTATTTTAAATCAAATGATCAAGCTTTCATATATGAGACATTTCTGGCTTATTTTTTCTTTTTCAATTTATGGCACTCACAGGCTACAAGCAAAAGAAATGTTCATGCACGGATATAATTCATACATGAAATATGCATATCCGCATGATGAGCTGATGCCACTGTCATGTAAGGGACGGCAACGAGGTGTTACACCACCGCGAGGGGATGTTGATGACGCTTTAGGGAAGTAAGTTTTATTCTAACTGTTCATATAATTTTTCATGCTAATTGCAGACTTGGTCAACATCCATAAGAAACACTTATGAACCTTGTCTTAGTACTGATGCTAACTTTCCAATCTTATCCATTTCGGCTGTGCTATAAAAAGAGAAATATATGTTAAGAAACGAAATGGGGAATATAATGACCGATTTCTTCCTAGTAAAAATATCAAATCATAATTTCATTATGTTACTGCTTCCATAATTTAATTTCGAATTAGAAATTACAGTGAAGAAGGATAACCAAAATTCGTGAATTTCATATTTTATTTGAAATTGCAGCAAATTTACGTTTAATGACATTTTGTGTAGCTCTGCCCAGGGATTTCTTCAAATACAGTTGCATTGGTATCCACCACTTAGCACATTTTTAAGCGTGTAGATATTGGCCCAAGTAGTATAGTGGTTAGTACTCCACGTTGTGGCCGTGGCGACACAGGTTCGATTCCTGTCTTGGGCAACGCATTCATAACGAAGTCTTTCTCAATACTTCGTATGGCGGTGGCGAGATGTTTTCTGCTTGGTGTGTGTTATCTGGTGGATAACTCAGTTTTGGTTTAGTAATGTAATTGTGTTTGTGAAAAAAGGAGTTCAGATTTCAGTGATTATAAATCATCTATAGTTTTTCATTAACTCTTGTCGATTCATTGGATGCGCTAGTCGTTTTGGGTGAATTGAATGAGTTCGAAAAGTCCGTTGAACGAATTGTAAAGAATGTTCGCTTCGATTCAAACTTGGTCGTGTCCGTTTTTGAAACAAATATTAGAATGGTGGGAGGATTAATATCAGGTAAGCTCCAGATTTTTCCCTTTCAAGGATAAGGCTAAGGTTGTTGATTATTTGCGTAGAGTATCTGCTACTGGTGGTGTATTATACATCGAGTGGCACATAATTTGATTGCTGGTAGAGCCATTCATTTTAATCTTGATGTTGGTTGAAACTATTTCTTACACAGCTTTTTAAGCTTCTTAAACTCTGCACTCATCTTTTTTCACTGATGAAATCTACACACATTTTAAAAAACGAATATTCAAAGCTTTGTAGGTCACGTAATGGCTAAACTGGTACAGTCAAAAGACGAGAATCGTTTAGAGTGGTATAAAGACGAATTGTTACAGATGGCCGCTGAATTAGCTGATAAGCTTCTTCCTGCTTTCAATACCAGCAGCGGAATTCCTTATTCTAGGGTAAGTTGAACTTGTTGCAGTACAAGATTCTAAAATAACGAGTATCATTGAAATACTTAATTGTCTTAGTACTGTAGAGTGGTACTCATCAACTGTAATGGATACTTTGACTTTAAAAAGACTTAGAAGATACTTTAGAAGATAAAACATTTAGTTTTATGAAACACTTTTGTATCGAATTTGCAGATAAATCTCAAATATGGAATGTTGGATTTTCTCCGGCAACAACATGACACTTGTACAGCTTGTGGAGGAACGATGATTCTCGAATTTGCTGCACTGAGTCGACTTACGGGTAAATCAATTTATGAGGAAAAAGCTAGGAAAGCAATGGATTTTCTTTGGGCTCAGAGACATCGTGGAAGCGATTTGATGGGAACTGTGTTAAACGTACATTCTGGAGATTGGATAAGGAGAGGTAGTGTCAGCAAATTTCATTAATTTATATTTGATTAATTTTCCAACTTAATTCTTCAATGCTTTCCGATAGTACCAAAAATTTCAGACTTCTAGCATTGTCGACACTACTGTAGGTCAGAGGATGATGACATTGTTGATTAACATATCTGAAAATATATATTTTGTTTACTACAGATGCAGGTATTGGTGCAGGAATTGATTCTTATTACGAATATTGTTTGAAGGCATATATTTTATTGGGCGACGAAGGATATTTGTATCGCTTCAACAAGGTCGAAATTTTACTGTTAAATAATTGGGTTAATTAGGTTCATTAGTATCATTAAATGTAGTGTGATATATAGATAATGAAAGTATTAAAATTGAAACTGGCTTCGTTAGGCAACATAGATTATAAATACTTTTCGATATCAGCTTTTCTAATCCGTGATTAATGATTAATGATAAACTTTTGCAGCATTATGATGCTATAATGAGGTATGTTAACAAAGGTCCATTGTTTATCGATGTTCATATGCATAAACCAACAGTTGCTGCTAGAACTTACATGGATTCCTTGCTGGCGTTTTGGCCTGGCATACAAGTTTTGAAAGGTGATTTGAAAGCAGCTATCGAATTTCACGAAACACTTTATCAAGTGATCAAGGTAAATTTTCCATTAGCTTATGATCAAGAGAAAATATTTTTTAGTTTTCCTAGCAGTGTCTTTTATAACAAAAAACAAAAAAGATAAGATTGCGCGGTGAAATATTATTCATAACAGTAAATTATTTCGAAATTCTAACATGTTTTTCGGTCTTACTGACTTAGCTTTTGAATTATGACAAAAGCATATTTTATTTTAGAGGCACAAATTCTTACCGGAAGCATTTACGCATGATTTACAAGTTCACTGGGCCCAGCATCCTATTCGACCAGAATTTATTGAAAGCACCTATCTGCTATATAGAGCAACGAAGGATGAGCATTACCTGCATGTGGCCCAAAATGTAAGTATTTATGGATGATGACTTTTTCAATTTCTAATTCGATCAATTAATTTCTTAGAGAGGTGTTTTAATTTTTTCGTTTTCATTCTGAAGAATGTAATCTTATTTGGCAGATTTTGGATAGTATGAATAAATTTTTGCGAGTTGAATGTGGATTTGCTGCTGTCAAAGATATTCGTTCAATGAATCATGAAGATCGGTAAAAATTCATATATTTATTTCTTTTCATAGATAAATTTATGTTCAATTTCTGAAATTCTAGAAATCCTGGAAAATTACAGATTTTTCTCTCTCCCTATCTCTCCCTTTCTGGAGACATTATTTAATCAGTTTTTAGAATGGATTCTTTCGTACTTTCGGAAACATTGAAATATCTCTATATGATTTTTACGGACTCCTCTGACTTACCGATTGATTTGGATAACTATGTTCTTACTACCGAAGCTCATTTCATTCCACTATCAATCGGTGACACTGATAACAGCGAGAAAGTTAGTTTTAATTGTCAAGCGATGTTGCAATAGTTTCTAGTTTATTGAGTATGATGATAGCGTCTTTGTAACTTTGAAGAGTCCTCCGGTTGCTACTTCTGTGGTGATATGTATAACTTAGCAGTGAGAATATGGAATATGCATTTTGCCGTGTTTTGCGAATTGACAAGAAAGTATTTTTTAATGCACCGAAAATTGATGATTATTGTATAATTTTATAAATCGATTTTTGCAGCTTCCACGTCGTTTAATCATTGATCCGGATGAAATAATTGATGATGAAAATGCAATAATGACTAAAAAATTTCGGTCAGCATGTCCTTCAACAGTGATTAATGAGAAATATGATAATTTACCGGCTTATGCAGAAGAATTGCGTAACACTGTACAAAGTGTTGTCAGCGAACTAACGAGGAACTCGGAAAGCTCCAGTAGTTGTTCAAAAAGGTATGACATTTTATTTATAAGATAGAACACCTAGAATATTGCTGAAATTTCCTTCTAGGATTTCATAAAAGTCAACATTTGTAAATAAAATGCTATTTAGTAACCAGCAACACAGCCACCAATTGCATAAGCTCAATAGATGAGATAAAATATCAGTAGAAGTTAGTATGCTGTTATTTTTAAGTTATGCAATCGACCATCATTCCTGTAATATCATTTCTTGTTGTTACTGCTATCATAGCTTTCCTAGATCCAATTGTTGTCCCATTATATTATTTATAATAGCGCAATTGCTCGAATAACCACTCAAGTGATCACCCTCTACTAGTGGTATATGTCCGATTAGGTTGCATATCAATTCCCCGATAGTATTCCTGAAGCAGTGTTCGTTATTTACGTATTTATTTTGATCTACTTAAAACTTTGGCCCAGAAAGGTGTTTACAACAGCTAAGCTTTTGTGTTTTTTTGTTTTTTTCATTGACTGATTATACCAAACTTGATTTTGCAGACCAAAACGTCTAAGTGCCTGGTCGTTTAGTGCAACAAATGCTGAGCATATGAAGCAGTTGAAGCAGATGGGGATCCAGATGCAATTTCAAGTTGATGGACATGTTCATCTTACTCATTCACCGGACTCGGTATGTTTTATTTTGAAATCGTAGCGTATTGCTTGTCGCGGGAGAAGCAATTCGATAATTTTCGGATTCGATTACGTTTGGGAAAACAATAGATTAGTTTTTATTTATTTCAAACAACTCTTTGTTATTTATCATAAGAGTTTGTTGTTGAAGATTGTGTACTTTGATTGGTTTTGCATGGAGTATTGTGAAGTGCATTCTTTTTCACCTTTTTCGCATGCTTTTTTGCAAAATATAAGTGACGATAGATTTTTCACTTTTTTTGCGTGCTCTTTTTTCAAAATATAAATGATGGTAGGAAGTTGATGGTCCGCTTCGCCCTTTATTATCTTTAAGCAATTAATTTTCCCACCTCCAGAAAAAATTTTTCCTTTTAATTTCTGACTCCTTTTTGTCATAGAAATGAGTTGTAGTCGGGGGAATTAAGGAAAAGAAGATAGTAAGTTAAGTTCAAAGGCACCTGTTTTCAGGGCGAAGTGAATGAATTCACTACCGAGACCGAAACTGTACCGGCTGAGAGTGATAATATGTTGAATAGTGTGTGCATGTTGGATAATGCGGCATCGGTGAAAAAGCAAACAAATATCTACATCGTTCATCCATCGCATGCTGCTGTTACCCAATTGCTCTCCATTATTATGCTTGTTGTCCTATTATGGCTTTCTGTTATGATTGTGGCTGCAATTGTTGTGTGTGTTGTTGTTTGTGGCTATCGAATAATAGCTATGAGGCGACTAGTTGCTAATCCAGTCAATATAGAAAAATCAGACGCTTCTGAATGTGTGGTGATAAAGAGTGAAAATGATGATAGTAATAATAATAATAATGATGATGATGATGATGAAGATGATGATGAAGATGGTGATGATAATAATGTAATAACTAAAGCAAGTAGTTAACGCATGCAGCAAAATGTTCTGCACTGTGGGACGAAATTATTGCTGGCGTTTAAATTCTAGAAAGCATTCGGTAAATTTGTTCGTTGGTTTTCCATTTCAAATTTCCAATAACTTTCTTTTGGGAAGGAAGAATTTAAAAGCTGAATTTTGTCTAACATATTCCGACAGAGAATATATTAAATGAAATTCAAAAAATTTAAACAAATTATTTCATAGCCGACAGATCCTTTTAGAGATAACAAAACTGCCAGTAGCAATACTGCCAGCAGCAATACTTTTCGGTACGATAGTCACTTGATGCCTTGTCATTTACATATAACTGAAACACTTCTTAATTTTTTATTCATAGCATTTTTAGCACGATAACATTGACAAATTCCTTTATGAAAGAACCTTACTTTTTCGTATTTCAGAAAGGAAGTTTTTAACTTGGAAGTATTAAGCTACTAAGGGCAAAGAAAGGAAATATTTGTCAATATATCTGTTGCATATCTCTCACCGTTTTCCTATCCTACTGGTTATCGTGTATTCTTTTTTCCCAAATTCAAATTTGAAATTACCGCAAGTAGCTTGTAATTTTTTGAAATTTTCGTTAAGAAAATTAATTTTAGTTTCTGCAATCGCAGAATGAATTTTAGATGTTTTTCTCTGAAATTTGATTCTAAGGAAACACCAATGTCTTGTTAATCATCGTAATATCCTGTAGGGCTTTCACTTCAACAATATTATAGATGCGATGTAGTTTATATTTCCAGCTATATTATACCAGCTGTAAATTTCTTTTTTCTTTCTAAAATGTTTTAATTCTACACTTCGTATTCGCTTTCACTTGCCCAGTACTTTCAAGCAGAAAAGAATAAAATCAGATCTTTTTTTTATGCATTCATTAATTTCAACCATCGACGACTACTCCAAAGCATTATTTGAGCTGCATCTCACTTTGGGATTAAGACTATCAGTTTCTTAACTTCCCTCAATATCTGTTCTGACTTCTTTTTCTGCTTTTCCAAAATTAACCCATCCTAATAAAAAAAGTTATTCCTCTGTTTTTCCTTAGTTTTCTCATTATTTTTATTCATTCTTCTTTAATCAGTTTTGCTCTTTTTATGTTATTTTTAGCATGTTCATTGATTTTACTGGAATATGATCAACATATTTTAAATCGCAATCGGTAAACATAACTCATTACCATAATACTGTCTAACTAGAGGTCGATTGTTTATAAGGAATAAATTTGTTCAATAGAGATGGAATGTTTATTAGAATTGCCTGAATTTGATCTGTTTTTATTTTGCTTGGATATTTGAAGTGTGGGAAAACTGTTGGAGTTTCTCAATATTGTCCAAAACCCTTTACATTTCATTACTTAACAATTTTTAGTGATGAATAAATCGCTTTGGACGGTTGTATTTACTAATTAAACCTTCTCCTATATTAACTTCGATACTCATACTTGTTCAGAGATAATTTGTCAAAAAAGACCAGAGGAACAATGATAGTTGTTAATATGAATATAGAATATAGCAAGTGTTGAAAGTGAATGCTGGGTTTTTTAGGCTGTTTCTCCGGAATGGGCTGTTCTCGGCAGTGAGTTTATCCAAGAAATGATCGTAATAGCAGGTTCAGAAAAATATGGACTTGGTTTGTTTTCATCAAAAACTAAATTTTTGTGCTGCTTTATTTTCTTTCAAAATGTCATTATTGTTCAGGTCTTAAAGCTGATCCGGCTATAATTACGTTGCATGAATAGGAACCGAAAAATAAGCTTATGATGACACTCCTTTAATCTCCTCAAATTTTAATTGTACTTTATTCTTTAGACTAAATTCGATTAGTTCAATCAGTGTTAACATCTGCTTGAAATCAGACCGCTTCAGGTTTCAATGATGATCGAATTGTCCAAGTAATATCGCAGCCTACATTTGGAATGCTACATTGGCGAGCTGCATCAGCACAGTTTGGCCAAAATTTGAATCGTAAGGCAGTAAGTTACATCTTGCATTCATAAAACTTAATTTTGCTACTAACGGTATTTATTTTTGCTGACATTTATTGTTCTACATTCTATATGTTTAGAGAAATAGTTTTTCTTGGAGAGAGGAGTTCTGCAGTAAGTTCAAATATTCTGCTACCGAAGTGAATAGTAAGTTGGGAGCTTCGCATAAAAAGCAATCTTTATTGTTCATTTTTGTTTATTTATTCATCCATTTGATTGTTTACTAATTTTTATCAAAAATTAATTAGTTGTATTGTTTGGATTTGTTAAGGTGGTCGCAGAAGTTCAAATTGCCGTGCCCTTTCGTGCCTGTGGACCGCTGACAAATGCGCCAAGAGTGAATGGTCGTATTGCAGTCGTTCAACGCCAGGATTGCATGTTTCAAGAAAAGGCGCGTTATGTTCAGGAAAGTGGTGCTGTTGGTATCATTATTATTGGTAATACTTTAAAAAATCTTTGTAATTGTCTGTTTTCAAATAGATTTTGTTTTTTCCAGACATTTATTGTTCTATATGTGCACGTTAAGAAAACTTGCGGAAAATTTATGGGAAATTATTTACTAAATAAGAAATATGAACATGTTTTTCATGATTTAGTCATTATTTGGAGAGTTGCAGTTTTATTATATTCAAAAAATACACTGTGCTTGGAAGGAACAAAAATGTTTATTTTTACTTCAAAATTAAATCGTGAAGATTGCAGAAAGTGTTCATTTGTCATAATTTTTGATCTAATATTTTTTTTTCCTTTGAAATTTCTATTAATTTAATTTTCTTGCGAAAATCTTGCATTACAGACAACACTATTGGTACAAGTATCGATGTGCTGCCACCATTCGCAATGTCTGGTGATCAAACCATCAAAGATGATATCGTTATTCCAGCTGTTTTTCTATATAACAAAGAGGGTCTTGCTTTTATGGAGCACATAATGCACTATCCTAATGCCCTAGTGCGCCTTTCTGATCGACTCTCAAATCCGTCTTATTTATTTGAGGATTTTGCATGCCACGGTAGAAACAAATATCCGCCCAATAAACTGGAACTCTTAGAGGTTGCTCAACAACTTGTTTGAAATTTAAGGTCTCAGTATCTCAAGTTTTATGTGCAATATTTTTCATCCTTCATGTCTTTCTTTAGTAATTGTTCTCTACAATTTTACATTTTCGTAAATTTAAGGACATGGATTATTCGGAGGATGTCATTGTGATTGATACCTCTTTGCCAGCCGTGCTACTGAATTTTCGATTCACTTCAATTAGTGCAAGAAATAATACCGAAGATAAGCAAAAAGTTAGTTCTTCATTTCTTTGAGTTTTATCATTCTTCAGTCCTTAATGCTTGCACTTTTTCACAGCTATGTTTGTACTCTGTTATAGTAGGAAAATACATCACGGATGAAATTACTATTGGTTCAAATCATATGCATTCTTTTTCTTACATTTATTAAAGCTTTGATCAATTTTGATAGAAGATTATCGAAATAGTAGCAAATACTCAAAAAATAAATATTGAAGGTGATAGAAGAGAACATCGAAGAAATGCAAAAACTATATAATTTGGCAACGGAATCCGATACAGTGATGTTTTATAATGTTATACGACAAATAGGTTGCTGGCAGCTTGGCCTAAATATGCAACCAACAGAAGCGCAGTTAAGAAAGTTCTTTTTGTTGATACCAACAGTAATCAGAGTGCAGCGAATTGCTCAGAAACCTAGAAAATTACTAGGATCAATAACTACTGTTAGTTGTCGAACGTGGGATAAACTATTCGATTGCCAACGAATCAGGTGATCTGATAAGGGTGAGGCGAACAAACTTTATGTATTCACATCTGCAGGTCTTTTTTTTCTCGTGTAGTTATTAGATTTCAAATATTGAAATTTATTGTAGACATGTTTTTGTTCAAGATCTTTAAAATCAGTCTTTGCATGTGCCAGTTTTTTTGTGTTCTTGAAGGATATGTAAGCAATTTTTTGGTGTTATTGTTAAATGAGCTGTTGCAATCAATAATGGATTTTCGAAGGAACAGATATGAGAGTTGTCTTGTTTATACAAAATGTAATTGGATGGGAAAGAGAAGAAAATTTTTCTGCTCCTTTTGAATAAATTTAAGAAAAGGGTATTGTGTTCACAGCTTGAATGTTTTATGGGTACCGTTAACCGGCTAGCCATATTTTTTCTATGGTCTTCAAGTATGTATATAATGAATAACTATTTATTTTCTTGCATAATAATTGCTTTTTAAGAGATCTGTAAATTGAAAAATATAATCTCACAATGTTTCGTTAATTTTATGTAACGTACATGACAATTAGATTTTCAGTTAATAATTCGATTAGAATAGAATTCTGCAAGAAAATTCACTTCTTAGGAAGTTAGAAATCAATGCAAGAGCCATTGATTACTTAATATAATGTGTATCCGAAGGCGATATACTATACGTAAGCGTGTCACATCACACTGTTAGCTAGTGCGCTGCATGTATCTGCAATAACTGTAACTGTTAGCCGAAGTTGTGGGAAGTCAAAATTTTGAAGGGCTGGTGAGAATGTTTTTTGCTATAAATTAGTTATAATTGTTTCACACGTCAGACCTATCTTCTTTTTATTTTAAATCAGGATATCTGATTCGTGATAGTGTTTGAATTACTTAAAAAGGCCGAAATATTTTTTTTAACTTGGAATAAAACAATGAAACCTTAGGTTATAAATGTCGTGGCCTCCTGAATCTCCTTTGTTTATTTTATCAGTTCTGTTGTATCAAGAAAAATTTGTATTCTTATAAAGTTAGAAGTAATCCTTACCTTAACAATCAAACACTATGTTAGGTAAGCATAATCATGACCTTTGAAAGAAAGCTTTCTTATCAGGAATTACCTATAATGCAGTGCTACTGAAGTTGCATTTTCTAAGGGAACCTTAATAATATCCTGAGTGAAAGGTTTATTGAGATCGAAATGTGAAATTTTTATTAAATTATCTGAGTAGTTTTATTTTTTATCTCAGGATGTTCAAGTTAAAGTTTCTGGCCTAGTATTTGTTTCAACTTATAAATTCAGTAACTTCCTTGATGCGTTCAGGGTTGCCATTATGATGGGATCTTTTAGATTTCAAATCTTCACATTCAACATTAGTCATCCAGTGGCAAAATGCTTTTTCCTTTTTGCAGATAGGATCATTATGTCGGATGTTGTTGCTAAAATCGATGAAAGCTTTCAAAAGTTGCAGGTTTGAATGCCATCTTCAATATTATCAGTTTTTATCGTTTATTCAGACAGTGTCCTTTTTACGTAATTATTTATCAACATTTCGAATTGTTCAAATCCGAATATAGGGAAGCAAACTCAAATATTAGTGTTATGCCCTAAATTTGATTGACTTCATTGTTACATATGTGTGAATTGGTGTAGTATAGCATTAATGACTTCACGTTGCTTACAATTTGTTACTCATAGTTCAGTATCATCTCCAAGATAATAACATTGAGAGAAAAAAAATGGTTATTATAAAACGAACGGCAGGGGACGAAACATTATAAAACTGCTTAAATCTTTACATTTCGTGAAATTTTTTCCGAAATTCTGAAATTGCACTTCGTATTAAATATCTGTGGTATGGTATGACATCGCTCTTTTCTTTTATATCGGTAAGTTATTAATTTCAGGAAGCAAAAGATTGCCACTCTTTACTCAAGAAGCATTTATCTAAAGCCATCGTTGATGAGCTAAAAGGTAAAAAAACAAAACTTGGTGCAACGCTTCTGGATGTCATACAGTCCGGTTAGTTTCGCATTTTATTGTTAATATTGAATACATGATAAAAGTACATAAATTGGCAAAAGGAAAGGCAGTAAAAACAAACGGACTGGATTGAATTATTCATGGCCAACAGATGATTTTTGATTTTATATCCTAATCATTTCTCGGAAAATATGCACAAACTATGGTAGTGAATGCCACCATAACAACACAACATGAGTTTTATTTTATTCTTTTTTACCTGGTAATGCTTTTTTTTGCTCCTAAATAGGTATTTACAAATATCGTAAGTATAGGGTGGGATATCTCAGTTGTAATCCTACATAAATAAATGCCCATTTGATAAATAGAATTAATCATTAATTTCACAGATCATTAATACTAAAAAAGGAAAATGAACACTGCAGTTAATAATTACTGTACTGAATAGTGTTTGTTCAAATGAAACATTTTGAATTCTTCCTGTAATACAGGTGTAGCGAATCTTGATTCTGGTGTAGGCGTGTACGCACCGGATGCCGATTCTTATACTCTGTTTAAGCCACTGTTCGATCCAATCATTGAGGAATATCACAATGGTTTCGGATCAAAGCAGAAACAACCAGAAACAGATCTTGGCGAGGGTAGATGTTCTCCTGTTTCAAGTTTAGAAAAGATCTATATTATAGTGAATAGTACATTGATGTCAGAGTATAATCGTTGAAGGAACGTTTCTATATAGATAAAATAAGTTTGCTCACTGATTTGGATCCGGAAGGGAAATACATCAACTCGACCAGAGTACGCTGTGGGCGCTCGCTTCAAGGCTACCCTTTCAACCCTTGTCTTACAGAAGAAAATTACAAAGAAATGGAAGACAAAGTAAGTTGTTGTCTTCAACAGTTAAAATTTTTGAATTTTATATGGGAAAACAAGTCCGTCATTTCTGGTTTACAAATGAAAAAAGTTACAACTGCAGGTCAAAAGAATTCTCTGCGGATTCACTGACCCGGAACTGAAAGGAACATATTATCCACTGACTGGAATGACAAAAGATGTCCAAAAACAACTTATTGAAGACCATTTCTTGTTCAAAGAAGGCGACAGGTACTGGTAACTTCATAATATTTTCCGGCAGTCATGCATTCCGGAAAACAATCAGTTTCTTCGGCTCTTTGAAATATTAAACTGGGATAAAATCTCCATCAAAAAAACTTTCTATTGAGTTGTTGTATCGATATGTAGACAACCACCTTCAATCCATTTCACCTAGTCACTCGTTTATTCAGTCGTCAGAAGTGAAATATTCAGTGAGAGGACCAATCCTTATATCATTGAAAGATTTCAGGTTCTTGCAAGCTGCAAATGCCTGCCGATACTGGCCAACTGGGAGAGGTATTTTTCACAATGAAAATAAAACTTTCCTAATATGGATCAATGAGGAAGATCATCTACGAATAATATCCATGCAGAGGGGTGGTAATGTTGGACAAGTAATATTTCTACAAATTGGCGAAAGTTAGATCGGCATGCTATTATAACAGCTTGCTTTCAATACATACATTCATATTATATAGGAGTCGCAGTATCATCATACATATTGATTATTAATGCTTTCTAATTACAATTATTTGATCAAACCCTTAATTCAGAAACATTAGTAGCAAATCTCTCTTATACTTAAAGTAATTTCTATCTTTAAATCATCTCTAAGAATCATTTGATTTTTGCAGGTATTGGGAAGACTTATCAAAGGTTTGAAGACAATTGAGAAAAGTTTGCCATTCTCTAGAGATCCACGTCTTGGTTGGCTTACTTTTTGTCCAACAAATCTGGGTACTACAATACGTGCATCAGTGCACATACGCCTTCCAAAGATTAGTGCAAAATCGGATTTCAAAGAAATATGTGATGGACTGAAACTCCAGGCACGCAACTTTTCTCCATTTCTCTTACTTTCTTCCATAAGACAACTTATTAAAATGAAATTTTCCTACTCCCTTCCATAAGACAAAGTTACATCCACGGATGATTTATTGTAGTATACTCCAAAACACTAGGAGCAAAAACGGTAAAACATTCGTTTGAATTTTACTTTCAAATGCTAATCTACAATTTCATCTAATGATATAACTTCATTTTGCACAAAGGACCAACCAACTACGTCGAAAATTTATTGCTCCTTTAAATGGACCCGCTCCCAACTAACTGACATTAATTAACAGACAAAACGAATATTCTAGTTATACATTTTCTTCTATTTTGTTTATTAAGATCTTGATGAGCTTCCAATCTAAGTATAATGCATTTTTAAGATACGTGGTATCCATGGAGAACATTCGGAATCAGCAGGTGGTGTTTACGACATCTCAAATAAGGCTCGCCTTGGATTGACGGAATTTGAGGCCGTGAAACAGATGTACGACGGTGTAAAAAAGCTTATCGAAATGGAAAAAAGAGCTTAAATGAAACGCTCTCCAACTGTTATTTCTTATTTTTAGTTTAGCCTATAAATTTTATATAATTCGTAATTTCTTAAACTTGATTTTTATAATTTATACACAAATAAAAAATAAGGCATAGCGTGTTAAGTTTATATACACTTCCCAAAAAAATGTTTATCAATATCACATAATTGAATAGGAATGGATCACATCTTGTACTGTCCGATGCTGTTTCATACCGGATTCCTTTAGCGTTAAGCACTCATGATCGTGAGAAAGTTTATAAAACTTTTTTAAGATTCATAAAACTTCACGACTACACCAAATTGGATATGCTATATAGTTTCGACGGCCTCATAATGATGCTGTCTATAGGGCTTAGCACGTTTTTACCTATTTTCACAATTCGATCGATCTTGTTCTGATTGATATAAATCCATGGCCGCACTATAACACATGTATAAAATCTGCGGGAAACTTGGAATTCTTTCAGTTATGTTCATATTAGGAGAAATGTTACACATAGTTGTATTTTCCTCAAACAAGATCCCTTCAACTGTTAACCTTTATTTGACCCTATTAAAATTCTTCTCCTCCACTGAATGTGGGTGTAAAAAGGCTTTTATTATTCTACAACATAAACCTTATTTTATCCGATGAAGAAAATTTCACTCCATGTTACTACGTATTAAGCAGTAGCTGATCTGATGGAAGAGGGAAATGTAAATACTATTCAATTCTGGCTTTTCTTCAGTATTATTTTATAATAATTAGGTAGTAATCTACAAAGCAAATATATTTGACTATCGGTAGAGTTATGTTCCGGAATTCTTAGTTTTATTACGAATATTAAAGATGGAACTAACCAGCTGTTCCACATGATTTACCAGTTATTCCTTTGCATACACGTCCTCCCCAGTCATAATGACCTAACTTTTCGCTGCATGAACAAAAAATCTGAAAATTATTTCGAGCTAGCTTAATGTTCTCAAGATCAATCAAAAAATCAAAGATCAAAAATAATAAATGTTCTCCTCAAGACCAAGCCGCTCATATTAAAAGAAAACAATACGTGAAATGCAAAGCCAAACCATTTAACGGCTTTAAAAAGGGAAGGCTTACTCTTCCTCGATGTTCGTTCAAAAGCATCCATTCCATAGGCGAAACAAAATAACCGAAACTACAATCCAATGTCTCCACTATTCCGTCGCCAGTAACAGTGCCAGGTTTCGATACTTTGTGCCTCATAATATGTTTCTCGTTGAATAAGATTTTCCTACATTTACGACATCGGTGTTCGACATTCATGGAACCGATCAAGTCTGGTGAATTTTTGTCCACAGAAAATCTTGCAGATGATGCTAAAAAATAATCAGTTAATCTGTATCAAACGTGTTTGCCACGCAAAACATTATCACGCAGCTATATCGAAAGTGTTAAACGTCGCATTTAAATATAACAGTTCTTTCTCTAGCTTTAATATTTTCCATGTGAGATTGGACACTAGTTGGCATTATTATTCTAATGAATCATGGATTTCCATCCAAGTATTGCAATATACTGATTTCATGCTGATTTAAAAGTTTGTATTGTTTTTAAGAAAAAGAATTAAGCTGTTAAGTTAATAATACCATCAGCTGAAGAGATATCCAATAACCAATTTTTGTATAACGAACATTGTGAAATGACTTGCACATCGGCAATAAAATGACAACTTTCGAATATTTGTAATTGTTGCATAAAACCATCATTTGGTCTGGATCACGGCAATATATGTTTTTCCATAATTTTCAGTTTTATTTAACAATAAGATTAGAATCTGGCACTTAAAAGTTTGAACTTTGGAAAAATGATTCGCTACACAATTTATGGTTAACGAGTTCTTTGCGATAGTTACATCGCCTTACAAAAGAAATTTGTTAGCGCAAGCATCGATGGTGATTCACAGAATTTAATGAAATGAAACGAATTGTTGGAAAGTGCTAGAAGACGACTCACAGTGCTATTGGTCGTATCCTTTGTATGTATTCAACAGCTTTTGCCGATGAACATTGTAATTTTTGCATTAGATAAGCAGCAACAACAAATACAGAACGAGATATGCCAGCTTCACTGAAAAAAAATCTTCACAGAAAATCCCACATTATTTAATCATTTTACATTAACCATAACATCACACTAAACCTTGAACAACGAAATAAAGCTTAATCAAACTGTTTCATCATCCGCATTCTCTTACAGTTTATAAAGTACTTAGTCGTAAATTTTTGTTATGGACTTCTTGATGTTATTTATATCTTGGACTGGACTGTTCGACCATTTGCAGCAGCGTTCACGGTTGATCATGATTATGGAATAACATTAATTTTGTACAAACGAAAACTAAAGCTCAAATGCAATACTAACATTACTTAGAAATTGAGGTCCAAACGTACCAATGTACAAGAATTCGTCCATTACTTTCAATACTTGTTCTGATATACGTTAGCGCATTAGCTATAATACATCAGATCGATGTTAGGTAACACAAATGTATATGTAAATTACCTATCATATTTGACACTTTACACGTTATCAATTTCTAATATTTTATTTTAATACAAAAGTATTCGAAATAAACAGAAGCAAGAAAGGTGATGAAAGAAAGAGACAGCATTTTGGAATACGAAATATTCTCAGCTCTCCTGTTCCATATTTATATCTAAACTTTTTAACTTTCCCGTGAAATGAAATGACTGTTGAAAGATAGTACCTAACAAATTTCCAGCAAACATATCTTGCGTATCCGTATCCAGTGCAAAAATAAACATATAAGATATCCCAACAATTTGTTTTTCCGTCGAAATACTTTCTGCTGCTATCGTAAGAATATGGCTGATCTAAAAACAATGGTTTTTTAAAAAATTTATTGTCGTCATCGTTCGGAAGCGTGAAAAAAATTATGTAGCCATTGCTTTTAAAAAACTAGAAAAAAGATTTTTGAGTAAAAATAAAAAAAAATCAGTTTTGGAAATAAAAAACTTTTTAAAATTTAAAAAGAAGTAATTTTATTGGGAATTTTAAAGCCCATCATGTGATAAGGCAGAAAGCAAATAAAACAGTGGTAACAAAAATCGCAAACCTTTAATTCATTTTTTAATCGATCAATTCTAAATTTATCCAGAACTTCCTGCACATCGCTCAGATATAAATTTTCGATTATTCTATCAATCATTGCCGTTCTTCCCTTAAATCAAATAATTCCTGCTGTAGAATATGTGAATAAAACTTTTTTTCTTAATCAAAATAATAATATCTAGCTTTTTAAATCTAACAACTTGGAAATACATGAAGACAAATATCACACTTAAATGGAAAATTGTCAACCAACCTTCCAACCTTCCAACCTAATTCATCATTAATGTAACATACTCTTCCAGTAAATATCTACTCATTTCAATACCGCACTTATATCAACTTGATCGACTACTATGTAAATGTCAATCCCACCGCACTCTCTTTAAATTAAGTTTGTTTGATCATTCGTTAATAGATGGGAAGGAATATACTAGCTGATAACTTGAATGATTATGTGTTAACTTAATTATGTTTATGCATACGTAATGCTTATATATGTGTACAATGTATATATGTATATATACACGTATAGTGTACACGTTAGTCCATATGCATAGCACATGTATGTGTATATGTTTTCAAGTGTATTTACATATGCAATCGGAAAGAAGCGCACCAATTTTCAGAACATAATCCACGCAGATATAATAAAAATGGAACCACGTAAGTGGACAATTAAAGGAAATTACGAATTCGCATATAATCAAAAAACGCTTATTCTATATTGTATAATTTCAGCTGAAACAAAGTGAAAGAGTGGACAATGACCATTGCATAAGTTTAAATAATCAGCAAGATGTTTGAAATTTTTCAAATAAATTCAAATTTACAGTGGTATTATGTAATTTTATTTTATTGTTTCATTAAAGCATAATGATTTTTATCTTTATAGATAAAGATTTTTTCTCCTTTTATACCAAACCGGAAATGTGCACAATGAAAAATATTAAAGATGATTAATTGATCTGATGATGAGATTTGAAATTCAACGAATAATAATGATTGGAGTATAATTGTTGTAGAAGAAAAGAGTTCAAACCGATATATGTGGCATTAAATGTGTAGTAAGGAATTTAATTAATGATATTAACATGAAACCATGAAAATATCGAAATCAAACATTAAAGAGACTTTGTAAGCACACTAGCAACTCCAAAAATAGGAAGTTGAATTAAATTGCTAGAATGGAAAAACTTTTTCCACAACTAAATTCTGAAATGATTAATCATCTATGAATTATTAACAATTTCCTAAAACAAGTACTAACTGATAGATTGATAAAAGCTTACATCAGTTAAATTATTTATTAAAATCAATTAATTTAAATTAAAAATTGTTATTGAACTCAAATCAATCCATCTTTGAGATCGAACTAAAATAAATTTAAATGAAACAAATTATGCAATGTGTGTATACAAAGAGTTTTTTAAAAGACAAAAAAAATTCTTGTTAAAATTTCATCTTATTTTTTTACTATTTCTTCTTTTTCATTTGCTCTCACTATTTTTTACAATTCGTATTATTAGAAGGGATATTATAAAATTCCATTATAAAATGAGTTGTAGCAGAAATTGGTGTCAGTTACACCCTTCAATAAACTATTATCGTTTTAATTGCTCCATTCGATGTTTTCAAATTTTCCGTTCCCAATTTCATTTTTGAATAGAAAGAGATTAGTACGAACAGTTTTTTCCTGTGTTTGATTAAAAAGCGTTTAATAGAAGCATAACTTTATTGTTGAAAACGATGAGATTCGTCTGAAAATGAAACATATTTCAATGCCTTAAAAAGCAAATAATTTTTTTTTCTTTTTGCAAGATACGACAAATTCATCCAACACTTTATAAAAGCCGACGATAATTTATATCATTTCGACAAATTTCATTTTTCATCCAAATTCATCGTCAAGTTTGAAATATGTGGTGGTACGTCAATCAACTAATATTCATATTGTTTGCTCCAGTTTATTTAACACTTTCCACAGGTTAGTTAATTTATTTAATTAAAAACAGCTCATTAAAGATCGATGAACTGCAAAAACATTCATTCTAACTGATTTGAGATGTATTTTTTGTAAAATTAATTTGATAAAACAATAATAACAGTTATAATGAAAGCATTAATAATGACAATCATAATAATGATAATAGCGTTAATGATAATGATAATAATGATGGTTTTTTTTTGATACTTCTGGTACTTTTTTTACTTTTCCTGCCTTATTCTTACTTCGTCTTTTAATCGGAATCAAAGTTATGGTCGTATCATCATTTTTCTGGTCGGAACAAAATATTGAAGTTGAAAAGAGGTGATAAGATAGTTGCGATAAAATAATTATAGTAATTCATAAACAATAACTGTAGTATAAAATTTAAGTGTTAATTTGAGCAACAATTAAATTTGCAGTCAAGGATTGATCATAATTGCTATGTTGTTGATTATAAAGTAAATCTGTCGGATAATAACTAAAAATATTATCTGACAGATTAATTTCTTTTTAGATCAATTGACGGTAAATTCGTTTCACGATTTTTCTGCATCATTTGATTTAAATAATACTTTATTACTAAATGCTACTGAATTAATGAAGCTGGAAGAGTTTTTCGGAGGCAAATCAGACATGTGTGAGATATCTTCAAATAAAAGCTGTATGGATATGCCAACTGTTCGCAATGCTACCAATTTCATGATCGAAACGTTAGACAGTAAGAAATTGATAAATAAAACTGATTTGGTCGAAATTGTTGCACAGTCGACGCAGCTGAAATTTAGAAATTCCGATAACTTGACCTCAGCGTTGGTTCGATCAAACTTGACCGATTCTAATTCATTCATTACTTCAGGAAATGAAACTTCTATTTTAATCGTACCACCAAACGTTAAAGTTAACAACTTGTTATCGGAATTAGTAAAACTGCAGAATATGACGCAAAATAATGCATCTGAATCCGGAAATACTTCTAGTTCTATGGACGATCCTACTAAAATGATGCAAATGAAAGTTGCTTCAAAAATCGCACGAGAATTGGACCCTGAATTAAAAGCTAATACTACTAGTATAAATTGCCTAAATCATGTATATAGGCTGCCTGAGATGAAATCTGATGCTGATGAAACACCTTCGATGAAAAATGTGCTTTTGGTCTCGGAGCGATCGTCCATAAAAGTACACCTTCGAAAATTTCTTGAAATAGTCCGTGATGCATTCAGCGATTTACTTCAATCATTTCATATGACTACAATAAGCGGTAACACTACGTTGATTGGCGATGGCGTTACGTTGGTTGATAGTGATACTGGAAATAGTTCCACTGCTTTCGACAATAGAAGTAAAATTTATTTTCTAAACTTTCACTAATTCTCAGAAACTATCGATGATAACATACGATAATTACAAAGAACAAAAACGAACTGATTGTTTGTTAACTTTTTTTTGTAGATTTTATGAAATTCAACGATGTTACAAAAGTTTTTCCGACATTTTATTTTGAATAGATAATTGGGAAGAGATGTGACAGAAAGGACATTTCAAATAATTATAAGTTTAAAGACAGCAAAATATAAGTTTTTCAGATATTTGCTCACAACAGTGGACATATTTTCCCAAAACAAATTCATGTTATTTCGTGGCATGTTTTTTTTCCTCAGATAATCTTCTTTTCAAAGATTTTTAATTAATTGGATAATATCCGACATCCAGTTGAAGTCGGAACATAACCGAAAGATGTGATATAAAATAATCGATTGGATCAATGCTGCAAAAATAACAAATAGTTGGAAATTAGAACATTCCCAAATTTATTAAATAAATGAAATTAAAAATTTGAAATTGCAACATAATAAGTTCTTAGTAGAATGAAAGATAGAAGCACAAATGTCAGAAATTTATCAAAAAAAAGTTTATGAGTTAGGATGAAAATTTTATTGAATAATTATTTATGGAATGAATGATTGTTTACCTATGCAAAATTTTGAAATAAGAAGATTCAGGGACAAAATTCAACCAGTCATCGTAAAGCTTTGGCAATATGTTCCGCACAAGATGCATTCCTAACGTCCATCACTAATTCTGATGAAATGGAATTTATCAGCGGTATGTTACCTCATTTTATCATTATAACTTTCTCTTCTCTTCATCTTTTATTGACAAACAGTCCAAAATATGATACATGGAATGGCATGCGGTATTCACGTGAAGCCGTATATAATCTTGTCAGTGCATATAATCTCTCCAATGCGTTAGTGGTTATACTCGTAGTGAGTATATTACCCATGCCATTCATTCTATCTGAAGTGAACTATTGAAATTCATGATTAATAAATTTTTTTTTAAATCTACGTTTAAGAATTTATTAAAATTCATTTGTCAAGTTCACAGCAAAATATTGAATTTTTCAGAATTGGCTGGAAATGACACATATTTGATTGGTTTGATTAAAGATGGCAATCAATGGTATTGGATTGATAATTATACGGAACTGAATTATACAAATTGGCGTACATTAGAACCAAATGATTGCTGCGGAATAAATGTAAAATGTGTTGCGGTAAACTGGAACGGAACGATGGACGGTCAGTGGAATGATGTCGATTGTGAAAATATCCCTCCGGCAAATTTTGTATGCAAAAAGAGACTCTAATCCGTTAAATACCTACTTTACGGCACTGTTTATTATGAATTATTTGCTTCTTTCAAGTGTTAGATAAGTTAATTTACTAATATTATTGGGAATAAATGAAATTGAATTGAAATGAAATTCGTGTAATTCAAGTTTATCCGTGTAATTCAGTGTACTATTGCTGCATTTCGATTTTAAATAAATTTAACAGATTTAAACTTAAAGCAATTAAATTAGTACTAGGATGAATCAAATTCTAATAAATTGAACTAATTAGTTGTTTAAATTAAAAGTAAGTACATCTGTTTCCTACTTTCATTAACTGTAATATTTTTGGCAAAAAATTACCTTCTTAATTGTTGTTTCTGCAGCATATAATGATATCACTGAATATGCAATAGTTTGGACTTTTTACTATACTATTTCGATGCTAAATTCATTTTCGATATCCCATAATGCGAAACAACTGTCACTGATAAAAACAACGAGCAGATACGAGTGAATGACTATTCAATGCAACAGATTGCCTTATATAATTTAGTCCGAAATTTCACTCTTCCCAACAGATGAAGTATGGAATGCTTCGATCAAACGAAAACGGATATATTTGCAAGAAGTTGCTGCTGTTGAAAATTTTTTCTTCTCTTTCGATTACACTTTTTAAATTGATCGATTTTTTTATGCATCCATTTCGTATTCCATATATATATATATATGTGGATATATATTTACAATATACAAAATTTGCATGCAAACAGACACACGGGCACATGCACACACACGGACATGCTGTACAAATATTGCACTGCCTTTATTAAGAATTTCTTTTTGACGGATGGATTATATGTTAGAATTTAAGTTTTGATTTTATTGAATGTGATAGTATTTAAGATTTGTTTTAGAAGTTAATAGAAAGAAATTTCTTCTGCAAAATGCATGCGATATTCGAGAAATAAATATATTTAAAGTAATAAAAAATTTGAAAATAGGTGACTATTCCGAAGTATTTAATAGATCTATATTAAACGTTTGTTGAATTTTCATCACAATATATTATAATCATTATTAGTTAAAATTTCCTATCACTTTTACAAGTAAAAGATTATCAGATGAGAATGTTAAGTCTTGCTTTCTTTACTCATTGTTAAATATGTATTTATTAAAAAGTAATTACAGGAATATTTAAATGAAGTGCAGAAAATGACCGTATCATATCATCATGAGTTAGCATCCTTATCACCATTAGCAATTTTTCGTGTATTATTTCGATGGAAAGGGAGTGTTTGGAAGTGTATTTATAAAGATTTACTAGTCTGGACTATACTTTTCTTAACTATTTCATTCTTTTATCGATCAAACTATTTTCTTGATGCCAAACAAAAAATGTACATATCTTGCTTAGATCATTTTTTATAGTAATAAAACATTAAATTATTTATAAATTATAGTAAATTATAATTAAATTTTATTTTCAATTTTTCTTTTAAAATGGAATGAGTCAAAGTATTAAAAAGTTTTTGTTAAATTCTTTAATTCAATTTATTTCAGCATTTTTGAAAATTTAGTCCATTATTTCGATACACGATTACAATATATACCTATGACATTCATTCTTGGCTTCTTCGTCAATACGATATTACTACGATGGTCCAATATTTTTATTAATATAGGTTATATCGAATCGTTAGTTATTTTTCTTTATAATTTTGAAATTACTCAGAAATAGCTTTTTTATAGGCAAACGTCGAAAATAAAACGATTTATATGAAAATTTTTGAAGTAGAATTGGCGAAAATTGTTGGTTCACGTTGTAAAATTCATCTGATAAGATTGTAAATGTTGTTTAATATTTACTTTGGTGAAAAAATAATATTACTTTCCAGATATGCATTATTTACTGCTAATTATATTCATGGTGAGGGTGAAAGTGTTAGACAGTTGCGCCGAACATTAGTGCGTTATCTATGTCTTACACAGGTTTTTATGTTACGGGATATCAGTCTTCAAGTAAAGAAACGTTTTCCTACAACTGATAGCCTGATTAATGCCGGTGTGTAACTGTTTTCTTTATTTAGACATAAACATTGAAGAATTCATGTAAGAGAAGAAATGTTAATTGTCTGAGAGGTTTAATTAGGATTTTTATAACAATGCCTATGGTTTCTTTCTAGAATAATTGTGTTTTTTTCATGAGTTGTTTTGCTTACTTTTGAAATAGATTAATCATACTTATGAATAATTTGTAAATATTTGAAAACATTTTCAAATGGCATAATATGTTAAGTAACCGTTATATAAATTATTTTTGCAGGGATTCTTTTAAAAGAAGAAAAAGAAAAGTTAGATTCAATTGAACTTCAATATAGCAAGTATTGGATACCAATACAATGGATTCATTCTACAGCGTTAAAAGCACGAAAAGAGAAAATAATCACTTCAGATTTACTATATTGGAAATTATGCGCTGTAAAATTTTACAAGAAAAAAGATTTTACCTCCCAATTTCAAGTTTTAAAACTTTGTTTTATTTAATAGTTAAAAAATATTTGAATTTCAGGAAGTTGACAAATTTCGTTACAATTTGCAACTCTTATACAATTATGATTGGGTACCTATACCATTGGTTTATTCACAGGTATAATTGCTATTAATTTTCTATTTTCCTAATTTGTCACTTGTTATGTATAAATTTGTTTTTTATGTAGTTTATTTTCTATAAAATTGTTAGGAATAATACATTGTTACTTCTAACTTCACTTATGAAAGGCATAGGATAAATGATTGCATACTTTTCTTCAAACTATTACCATAAATTAAATATTTTCTTCAAACTATTAAAATAAAATAAATAAAAAATGGAATAAAAAGGCCTTTTCTTTTCTATAATTTCTTTGCAGATAGTATTTCAAACAATAAATAGAATAATATAAATAAATAACACAATTTAGGTTGTATTTCTGGCAGTTTATATACACTTTTTTATATGCCTTATCAGTCAGCAATTTATTGTTAATAATAAAACTACAACAAATGATGTTAGTTTTGTAGTTTTTGTTATTTTTAAAATTATATTTCGATCTGAGAATAATAATTTATAAAACATCTAAATGTACGCTTTTTACTTTTATAATTTTGTCGCGTCAATATTTAAATTTATATATAAATAAAAATTTTACATGCAAATTTAAAAAAAGTAGTAATTTTGATTACAAGAACTAATTTTGCCTAAGTGAACAGAAAGCAATCAATGCATTCATTTTCAACTATTATCTATTTGACACTTTTCTCGATTATCTTGTTCTATTATAAGGATTTATCGATATGCAAAAAATGATAAATGATTACTTATGAAAATGAATCGGTGGCAAATTCAAATTCTCTCTTATAGCTTGATCTGATAGTACCAATAATGACAATGATAGAGTTCGTGTTTTTTACTGGTTGGTTAAAAGTTGCACAAGCATTACTTAATCCATTCGGTAACGACGATGATGACTTCCAATGTAATTATCTTATCGATAAAAATCTTGCTGTGAGACTTTAATCAAATTCAAAAGTTTTGAAAGAAATGATTATATATTAACTGTAATTAATCGGGAACTATTTTTGAATTATGGTAATTTAATTCGTTAGACATATTGTTGTTTACATTTAAGACACTCTGTTACTTTATCGAAACAGTTTTTATGTCATGCGAGATTTTCTCATATATTTCAGATAGCAACTTCTTCCTACCTAGATTTACTTTCGTTAGATTGATGAAAAGAAAAGCAAATTCTTTTTTTGTTGGACAGTAATTTCAGCAATGAAATGGTTATGGTTAGTCTGGTTTCTCAATAAAAAACATCTGATTTCTTCAAATAAAACACTTCAGACAAGTTTCTGCATTGCTGACAACTACGACCGTGTGCCGGAAGTACGGCCTGATCTTTTTTGGCGAAGCTACGACAGGTTTCCTGCTTCCACAGGTGCCGCTTCAATTAGATCAGCTGTAAACTTCAAGTATGTTTTTTAATTTTTGTAGTATTCAATACTTAAGTTAGCTGCTCACTGCAATCTCGTGAGTGCAACACTTATTCATGCACTCTCTCCCTTTAATTTCACTAAAAAAAAAAATTATAATGAATTTAGGTGTATTCAAAATTGTTTCTCATCCATTTTATTTAAAAATTTTCTCAATTTTCTCCAAATTTTCTCATTTTATTATAAAATTGTTTCTCATCCATTTCTCATTCATTTTATAAGGCTAGAGTTAACAACGATATGAACAGAAGTGGTAAATTGTCATTCACAATCGGTTTCCGTTAACTCATGTCAAAAGTTATCACAAATTTCACTAAATGTTGATGATCAAAGCGGAGAGAAGTTAGAACAGTTATTCTCACAATCATATGAGAAACCATAAGATGCGCCTTTTCACATGGCTTCTCCACGATCATAAATTTAGAAGAAATGGTTATAAAAATGCAAGCCTGCAGGAATTCTCCAGTCTCCGGTGGCTTAGCTCATTACTTGCATCCATTAGTTTCATGGATACCAGAGGTTGAAATCCTTAGAGATCCATATGACAGTTACTCTTTCTCTGATTAATAATGGGTACTTAAAAACTATTTGGAATATTTAGTAAGAGGAGGGCATACCTGTAAAAATAATGCATCACTTCAGCTTAAAATTGAACTTAACATTGTGTACAACTGTAGAATAACGAAGCGTGATCAAACGACATCAGTATGTGAGGGACTACGGGTTACTGATCTGGAAAAAGCGATGAACGTAGCAGCATCACACCACCGTAAGCTATTGAGGAGTTGCTTGCTATGGTCTTGATTCGCACATATCTCAAATCTTGGCCAGGTTAAGTAAAAATCCAGAATACTTCAGTCCATTGTAAAGTTCATAAAGATATCAAGAATTACAGTTTCTTTCTTTTAGATCATTTTGATAAATCAGTGCAATACAGTACATCGCAAACTAACTACTTTGTACCATGGGATCCGAGTATGAACAACGACAGGAATAATGATGCAGAAATTACTCGACTGTAAATTTTCAGTTCATCCTTGAACATGTTCAGAAGAAAAAGAATCAAAGTTGAATGGATGTATTTTCCTTTAAACATTCAACAAGTCACCCATGCTAATTATCCTTCCGAAATGCTTCTCATTTTCTAATATTATTTGTTCAAAATCATATAAATAGTTTATTAGTAACCAGTCAACAATAATATTTGAAGTTATGAAATGTATTCTGATTTACACCGGATTGAACACCATATTTTCGAAATAATAAGAGGCAAATATTGTCTCAAATCGGCTAATGATTTTGAGATGAAAAACTGAGCAGAAATCCAGAATGATGATGGATTAGTACCATTACACTCTTAATGTATTTCGACAAGAATAATTATCTTATAATTATCCTTCTAGAAATGTGTTAAGAAGCAAAAGAAAAAAATAAACGAACAAACTTAACCGATTGAAGATGATAAGTAATTGAAAATATTTGTTAATGCTATATCATGAAAACGATCAGAAAGACTAGGGTACGCATTAACAACAGCGCGCGCAGCAATGTAAAACAAGGTTGGCGGTCTGATCCAACATCTCTGCAGCTGATCTGTCCGTCTTTCGAACTTTTCATCCGTCGTACCACCAAAAATATAAATGCAACCTTCCTGTAAAATATTTTCTTTTATTGGAGTGAAATAACTTTAGTTTTATACCAAAAAAGGCACAAATTCTTATAATTTTGAAGACATTATTTCTTGATGAATAAGTTTTGTATTTTTTAAAAAACAAAATGCTTTCACCGTAAGATCAATAATTTTTCGTACTATTTTTCAACACGAAAAAATATCGGGTCCTCGGACTTCACGGAATGAAAAAATCTCCAACATGTTTAATACGGAACAATCAATAAAGACTAGAACTTCCTGACTCTGAGGATTAGGATTAGAATTAAAGATCAGAACTTCCAACTAGAAACAGTAAGCCCCCTTTCTTACAGTGATCATTGAAATACAAAAATACATGTACATACTGGGGTGACGGTAGCTGCGTGAAAACATAACTGCTGATTTAGTTCACCAGGTAACAATTTCCAACGCCACTCTTTCAGATCAAGTTGCCAACAGTCTTGAAGCAACTTAGGGCGCTGCAACAAACGTGAATTCAAATTTAATCGTAAACCCCTCCGCTCGCTCCTCCCTCTTCCAATGCTCTATCATGTGTTAGACGAGCATGATATATTGCAAAATTCATGAAATTTTCAAAAAAAATCATACAAGAATATCTACTTGGATACCTATTAGCACATATTATATAAAAGGAAATTAAATAGATTATTTGCGCAATAAAAAAAATACCAAAACTATTCGATCAATCAAGTGATGTATTACTGACTTTTCCGTACAACCACCAAGAATGTATGCATTATTGCCAAATTTTACGCAACCGTAGTATAGTCGACCCTTAACTGCCAATCATGAATAAATGATATTTTACATATTCACATCGAGCTGTATTTTATTTCTTGTAATTTTTTGATATCAATGTACGAAATGAAAAAGTAATGATTCTTTGTATAAAAATGAAACATACCTCTGGATACCCATAGTTAGTGTCAGGCAGCGTTATTTGGGTGCGGAATTTTTTTTCTGATACATTGAATACCAATAGCTAAGAAATGAAACATAAAACATTGCAACACATAATGTTACCATTTTTAGCTAAGTCGAGTTTTTTAAGATGTCACCAAATATTTCATTTATTTGGTTTTTCTTAAAATCAAAGCAAATTAAATCTAAAAAGTTTCAAACAAAGTCAATTCTTATTAAAATACTTAAAAACTGACTTAGAAACTTTTAATTACAAATATAATACTTTTAAAGCACAAAATGTTTTATTTTTCTGTAACTGAACAGTCATGTTGCAATAAAAGCTAACCTCTATAAGTGGTGAAGTCCATTCCGGAGTACCACCACCTATTAACACTATTTCATCGTTAAGAACTATAGCTTCGTGTCTGTAACGGCCGTTAATACCTGACCCATCCTGTAAAAATTATTTGGATTCTTCCGAATAACTTTTAGCTGCTCAAGCCCAAAAAATGCATGCAAAAAATTGGTGATCGAAGACAAAACAAGAAACTTGTAAATTACATGAAGAAGTGTCCATTTCCAGCGAATTGGTTCCCGTCGGCCTGCGTAATCTTTTTTGCCACTGAATTCAGGTTCTAAGCTACGAACTTCTAAATTATATTCCCATCCAGTAGTTCCACCAAACACATAAAATTTCCCATTATTATGTACAAGACACTGAAAAGGAAAGGTCCCAATAACAATGATAGTAATTTTTTAGCAATAACCAGAAATAGTATAAAGGATAGAAATCTCAAGATTCAGAATGGTTATAGAGATGAACATCTTGAGAGGTTCCAGGAAAAAATATGAATACAAGAAATTCAGTTTCCAACAAACCAAGTTAGATTATTAACAGGTCCCTTGAAAACTGAAAGTGTCATGTTTCTCAAAAGAAATTTTTAACAATCGAACAATAGTTCACATGTTAGGATTATTTCAAGTTTCTAGTCAGTGATTCATAAATGTTCATTTATTTTTTGTCTTTTTCTTGCTTCGAATTTCCATTTTCCACTAATAAAAACTAAACAAATAACTGACACTTACTGAACCATACTGTTTAACTGGAACGTCACCAATGGTTTGCAGTTGTTTCCAAATATAAGTTTCATCCTTTACGCGCTTGAGTACATTGACTGAATTTGAAGCTCTTGTACCGAATGGAACTGCCGTCCCACCAAACATATAAAATTCAGATAGAATTGGTTCACCGAAAAAGCAACCTAGAAAATACAAAAAATGCACAAAAATAAAGAAAATTTGATAGTACCTGTCAATATCTGATTTTTTTTCAAAGAATGATTAACTAAAAATGGTATAAATAACAAATAAGTGATGAACTAAACATCATAACAAAGAAAAATTACTTGCAAACGATGCCAATTCTTCGGGAAAATCCTTTTCTGGTATGGACATTAGTTCCCAGGTATCAGTCAGAACATTGAAACGCCAAACTTCCTAAACTGTATTCTAGAAAATTTACGGATATAAAGAATTACAAAGAATAATTGCAACAGAAAATGAATAACTATTCATGAGCTAATTCGATCCAAATATGTCGATGCTCAAACTGTTACATTAATTCATTGCTTTTAATTTATTTAATTTATAAATACTCTCACTTTATTCGTCACGATAATCGCTATCAGTCAAAAACTTTAATGCCATATTTAAATGCTATCGAAAATGAATCGAATTAAAAGTCGTGTCAGATATCCATTCCGGATTGATACGACTCTTAATTTTATACTCCATTCTGACCAGGCACAAATACAGTAAAGTTCTTTGACTTTATACAGATTATTGTTTTTTTTATAGATATGAACTGATAATCGCTCATTACTAGAAGAAATGTAAATTCACATGACGAATCAAAATTTGCTCACAGTTATTATCAAAAGAACCCTATTAAAATCATTCCCTTATGGTTTTATCTATAGCCCCTCTCAGTTTCTATTTTACGCGCGACAGACCCCTGCAAGCAGAGATTCTCGTGAAGGTGAGAAACCACCGATTACATAAACATAATTCCGATCACAAGCCATGCGCATTCCACTTCGCTCCGTTAACACTGAAAAAGAAAGAACACCAAATCAAAAAAAACTATAACACAAACAAAAATTCATGAAATTGAGAAACCTAAAAAAATATAACAAATCAAACAATGCTATCTCATGAATGAATGGAATTATTAAAGATTTGAAAGCGTCGAAATGCGTTCCGATGTTTTAAACAAATTGAAGTGGCGATGTCCCTTAACTGATCAATTAAAGTGAACGGAAAAAGCTGTATTGAAAAACTCTTCATAAATTCACATATCAAATAAGAAGACCTCATAATATTCTATGATGTAATTTTTTTTAAAAACAGTATAAGTATTATACAAATATTATAGATAATAATATCAACATGTACATATTTCTCTGGAAGGACCACCATCATTCCGCCAACGTCTGTCGATCTGATGCTCGATAACTTCAAATTTTGCAGATATATGGGTACTATTCTGCGATCCTACCATTAGAATCTGAAAGGAAAAATCTAACAGAATTCTGATTCTAATAATCTTTTGTACAAGAATTGTATAGATGTCTGCAATATAATCTCATTTCAGGACAATACTGCATGTGCAATTTTATTTCAGGAACCAATAAAAACAGGAGGGTTCCTGCGACTCTATTTAGAATTTGACTTTTATCCAATTTTTATCCTTTAGATAGTCTGCAATATTTGAATTGAATCAAATTTGAAAATTCTAATCACTAATTTCAAAAACACGAAGACATGCAGCCCTAACTAAACCACACAAACACTTCCCACGATGAACCCACTATCAACTGTGACAAAAAACATACTAAAATATTAGCTTAAACTCTGAAACGAAATGAAAACTTCGATCCCACTTTGGCATTCCACATTTCATACTTACCGCTCTTCGCATGAAGTGCGGAGTGCGATTCGCATGGAGGTAATTAATCTCTCGAGAAAATGTTAGAATGCCAGGGCAATCTGTCTTAATATAATTGCTACCTGGATTCTGGATTCCACTCCTAACATTGCATCCCCAATTGGAGCATTAACTATTTTATTGTCAATTATCAAAAAATGTTTGCTTCTAATCGTTTCTTTTTATCCAGTCAAATTGAAATTGAACCATTCATGGTGGTTGAATGATTTATTTATTCTTACGCTTTTATTCAAATTCTTATTTGTGTTTATAGAAGCTTTTTCACGGTTGTGGTTAAAAATTAAGATCATGTATTTTATTCGGGCAACTCAGAGATCACCAGTTGTTGATAAATAAATGCAAATTTCACAAATAAAAAGATCTCCTAATAATCTGTTATTAATTTTCTTCATCGTCTACTCTTAAAATGTTTCCAAGATATTTCTTTCAGGACACAGATTGTCGTCCAAAAATTATCATCTTGTTATTGGCTGGCATATCATGTACTTTTTGCATATATAATCCATTAGCACCCGCTTTCTACAAAAAAGGAAAATAACTTCTCCAAATTTTTTGTTCATTCTAGTGGTTATTCAGGTAGGAAATATAGAAATCAATGAAAAGGAATTCATCAAGAATAATTGCATTTAAAAGACGCTGAATTTTTAGAACCATTCTTTTAAATGAGAAAATGAAATTCAATATTATTGCCAATTTCAAAACTTAAAAAATCAAAGGATAAAGACATGTTATTGCTAGCAATAAAGGATGTCAGAATTTTCCCCTATTTCGTCTTCCATCCTGAAAAGAATGGTATTGAAAGTATATTAAATATAATTCAGAAATTATAAATTCTAAAAACAGCGGTAATTTACAGTCAGCAGTTTACCAAAATTAACTGAGTAGGAAGACCTCTTTCAAAATGCTTATGTCACGTAAACCCCATTCAGGATCGGTGGAACGAAGTGATCGGTGAAAATCAATGTTGCTTTGTGGCGATATTTGACCATTTACTGCATATGGGCCATATGTAATCAATAAACCATGTTTAGTGGACAACAATGACCCAGCACTCTAGAATTATTATTCTTGAATCAAAATGACATAATATTGTGATATATGATATATTTAACTTATTTCCTTTAATCAAAGTAAAAGCCTCTCGCTGTAATGGTATAATGATGTAAGGCAAAGTTTAGTAGATAACGAGAAGTTTATACTCACATTGAACAATGCATTAACAGCAGCATCTGAACTGATATGTATCATATTGATCGATAAGAGATAATCTATGTGTCCCAGTTGAAACTCATTCGGCAAATTCCAGCTGCTAATATCTTTTCGAACATCAATTGTCAAAGCTTGCTTAACATTGCATAACTAAAAAATTAATTTTCAAATACATGAAACATTGAAATCGAAGAGCATAAGGTGCTTTCTAGTTATGAGTTTCATAGAGACCAAACCATATGCTTACCAGACTTAATTACTAATGGAAGCTAACAGAAAAACTTATTTCGTTTATAGCCCCTTTTTTTTCATCTATATCTTATTTCGTCTATATCCGTCAAAATTTAAATGAATGATGCACTTGACGAGAAAACTTTCAGTCATGGAACTGATAAACATTGACAAATTTCTATCAGTCACAAATCACTTTACATTCATATTATTTACGTATTGAAAAACAAACAAAATAACTTGGAAATTTCTAAAATTAATTTTCAACACAATTTCGGATTGTATCAAAAATTAATTTAAAAGAAATTCTAAATTTCAAAAAAAGTAACTTGAAGAAACCTTGGAATGATCGATGTAGAGATTTATGGATTTCACATTACTATCATCCATATCAGAAGGTTGGAATAAGACGTTTGGAAAATGTGGTGCAAAATGACAAACATGCTGACCGCTACCCGATGCAATTTCTAACATCTAGAAGATTTTCAAATGTTACCAATTTAATTCAAATTATGCCACATGTCGAAAATTACGAGAAAACAAGTCATTGGGAGTTTTTTTTGAATTCCACTCAACTTTGATGATTAAATGTAATCAGTCGAAAAATCTTAGCAAATGGATTGAACCGTAGATACATACAGTACGAGGTTCATTGTCGATATATTGCTTGAGAATTTCCAATATTGGCTGCTTGTTACGTTCCGCAGCTGGTGCGCATAACATTGAAAAAGTATGTCTTGCACCCGGGGGATATACAATGAGCAGATGTGTAGAACGCAATACTAACGAATAATAGAGCATTCACAGTCATTCATCAGTATGAAAGAATTATATTTAAATCAATTAAAATTAATTGACTAATTTCAATTTAGAAATAAGAGCGAACTTGTTTAAATCTATATATAAAATTATCTAGCAATTAGATTGATATAAATACTAAAATTGGCATAAATTCTAATTAACAGCATAGTTGATAAGATAGTTAAATGGCTTACAAACAAAATAACTCTGGAAGATAGTAGCAACCCATAATTAAATATACTCGACATATAATGATAATATCATTAATTAGATATAAATTAAATCACAGGAGGTGAGGAAACATGGCTAATTATTCCTACATTATCATTTCGACTTGATTACAGACTGCTATCGTTATTATAGCTTCTTTTAAGTTAGTCAATTCAATTAATAAGCACTGGCTTGACCCATAAGCCAAAACATTCTAAATTTTTACTCTATGGTTTTTTTATAACTCTCATAAGCAGTTAGGAGAAACTGTGACATAATGAGTTTAAAAAAATTCAATTGCAAAGAGGACTGAATGTCTTAATATTTTTGAATTCTCAACATAATGATAAAGGATTAATCAGGCTTGAAATCTGCAATTACAGATAAATTTCTGTTTACAATAACTGAATTTTTACTGTAGTATATTAAGTAAAGGATGAATTAAGTTGAATAGCATTTTATTATTAATTTTAAATCGTCGATTCTAAATCTTAATGCAATGTGGTAAAATCTAACCTGATTAGATCCTTGAATTTTCAACAACTTTGAACATTTCAAGAAAGAGTTGCAACATGATTGAAACTTTGAATTTAATTGCGACTTCCAAAACTGGAAACTCCTAGATTATTATCATTTCATTCATTATTCTTCGCACTGCTCCAAAGATTGAATTTTTTTAGTTAACATGTCCTTTTCTTTTCTTAATGGCCTATTTTCTTTTCATCGGGCTAATTCCCAGCAAATCTCTAATTAATCCATCAATTATTATCGATGATTTTACGATCTGCTGCACTTCTTTTTCTTACTTACGCCGAACCAATACTTAGTGACTGCCTAATAATATAACACAACCAGTAATATCTAAAAACACCATGAATGCTTAAATAATGAGGCAGGATATAATATTTCACAAATTATGCATTACTTTTGGTTTTTGGCTGTCGACGAGTTAAGTTGTAATAAACACTGTGCTAGTATTTTGCTCATTAAGGAAAAGACAGTTGTTCTTAGAACGCTTACACATGCATGTGTATATACTTCACAGATGTAAGCGTAAACTACGCTTTTAATCACGCCTTATTAGAAACAAACGTAAGGCCACAATATCTCTAACAGGGCCGCGTTTCATGAACTCCACAACGTCCCAGAAGTATACGTAGAAATGCTGAGGAATTCACCGTAGGATTGGTCTTAAAAATCATCAAGAAATTGGCTTGGAGAAAAGGCTGACGGAATGATCAGCGCCTCAATGGGTAATTTTCCTGTCAAGATTGCTGGATTTTTGTTGCTATTTTTTATACCCGCCATTTTCAATTTCTCGTGGAATTTTATTTGGGATTTGAATATAATTCATATATTGTTTTTAAATTCCGATTCGCATGTTCGCTTTCGGCTATGGATTTCCCGTACGAAAATTATAATCAATTTTCGTTTATTTGTTTGTGGGCTCATTTAATCTAGTTTCTGCGACAATACGATGAAATTCTATGTAAGACGAGGAGATGCTAGAAGCTGATAAATCATTTTAGTGGTCATTTTAAATCCATTCACAACGCAGTGAGGGACTCTACCCCTTTGCAGGTGAAGCATCTAATAAGAGTGGTAATGGCCAATCATCGGATGGAATGCAAAGCATGCAGAAAGCGAGTGATATCACGAAAACTATTGATACAGGCATTTATATCCGACAAGAAAGTGTCGAGGTAGCATTATTTTAAGACATTTCAGAATTTCTCACGACGTTCAGTCACTTCAATTCCTAAGTTGTAGTATCATTCGTTTCCAACAACTGATTGTGAGGAATAGTCTGCTTCCGGACTATCTATTTCTGGTGTGCGAAATAATTAGGCTGCTATTTGTCGGAATAAGTGAATGGTTAGAAGGCTTTATAAGGCAAAAGTGCGAGTTATTTGTACTTCATGTTTGGTTTATACTTCTTTTTACCAATACAATTATTATTAAAGTACATTTCATCCTGTGATACGTAGTAAATTGACTTTTGCTAGCAATAAAAGTTTTAAGATTAGAATTGGTTGTTCAAGACTTCTTTTTTCAGGTTGAAGAGACGGAATTAGTTGAAGAGAGCACAGTTGGGCAAGTGATTGTTGGAGACGATCAGGAATATTATTTGATTGTGAGCTTAAATGGACCTGATGTTGGTGCGGTGTTCAAGTTTTCCTTTCACTTGTAATAAAAAGTTGCAACAAATTTTCATTCCTGAAGAGATTACACTTCAGATATCGGAAGAATAGATAACGTTCAAATCTTAAGAAATGATGATGGTACAGAGACGGTACTACTGGAAATAGATGAGCTCAATGAATCAGAAATTCCATCTTCCCATTACAGAAAACGTAATTTTGAATTTTCAAGATTAATCTGTTGATTTATTATTTAGCTTTCTTGAGCCATTTTATTGTGTGTTACGTTTGTTATGAGTAGAAAAAAGATCTCCCGTTGCTCTAGAACTTCCAAGTATATTCAGATGTGGTGGTGCGCAGTGCTTTAGTTTCGTTCTTCCGTTGCTGTTTTAATTATCGCTTTTTTGAAGAATGGTTACAAGATATTTCTAACTCATCAAATTTTCAGTGGAAATTCTCCCAGGTAGAGCCAATCCAGATTAGCGACATATCAGTTAGCGAGTAAATAATGGAAATATTTTAATGTTACCGTCGTGGTCACCTGTAAGAAATCTATAAGCATAATAATGGCAGGAGTTTTTTTTTTGCAGAAAATGATTCTTATCATGGTATGGAAATCGTAGATATCGATAAACATGATAAAATTATGCAACAGCTGTTCGGCAACTCGGCTGGTTATGATCCGTATCAACTAGGACGATATAGGAGGTTCTTTTTTTGAAGTTCATGTATTACATCTGGCTATATCAATGTTCTGTAGTTATGTATCCAGTTTTTTTTTTGAAGTTTATTGTATCGCATTGATTGTTGTAGTTAATGTTCCAAGTATTATAAGTTATTGACATATCCCGAGGTTAACCACTTTTTTTATTAGTTTCGACACATCTACTATTTTGAGCTTTATTTTGATCCAATTAGAAGTGAAAGCAAGTTATCAATTTGTAGAAACCGTGTGTACGGTACTTATTCATGTCCGGAATGCGACCAAACTTTCATCAATACCGCTCGACTGGAAAGACATTTAGCAGTTCATCAGGTTCTTTCTCAACAACATTTTCGAAATATTCTGAGAAATAATCTACCAATTAATGCAAAGTTTTCCATGAAGTACTCAGAGTGAATGGAACTGGATGGATACAAGATAGGAGAGTTTAACGACATTTAATGACTATGAGTATAAACTTAGCAGAAATGTAAAATTTGTAACTGTGAAGTTCAGTTATACAAAAAAAATCTGCTTAACTTCATGTTTGGTAATGTTTAAGAATAAACGATGAATATAGGCTTACCAAAAATATAAAATTTGGCATATAATTATGAGAAAAATAACGTGTGCGCATAATTTGCTTGTTTGTCTAATCGGTTTTTCAAAATAGATCTCTGGTTCGTTTCAATGTCCATTGTGTCAAAAAGTCTACAAATATGAATATAATCTGTTTTATCATTGGCGTCGAACATGTCATGAACTGAGCGAACTGATACCAGCTGAAAGAAGAAGGGTTTGTTTTTAATTTGGGATTCCAGTTTTCTTATTTTGTTATTCATTTACTGTGACTGGTTTTTCTTATTTTTATATTTACAAATATTTGAAACATCTTCCAGACAATGGATGTTAACATTTTGCGATCAATGGTATTAAAATTTGCAAGGAAAAAAGCGGATGAAGCACCACCACCTGTGATGAAAATAGGTATTAATCCGAACTTACTCTTCAGATCGGACACATTTGGTCTCATCGATATGCAAGCTCCTCTAAGTAAGCAATTTTTTCGCATGGAACATTTTGTCTTATATAGATACATTATTCACACCACGGTGCTATAATATGATGTTCCTGTAGCGAACTGAATATTTCTATTAATTTAACTCTTCCATACAAATCAAAAAGAAACTTAAAGTTATCGACATATGTTTTATTCTTACTTCTACAGTTACACTTCTTTTCATCTCTTATTTCAGATACTCAAAATAATGTGTGTTCGGGTATTCCATGCAGGCAGTGTGGTGTGAAAATATCCAATTCTGTAATTCAATGGCACATTGCCATGCATCGAGGTATTATTCCTGTAGATGCTCGAAGCGGTGGAGGTGAACATTTTTGCAGCCTCTGTGGGCAAATATTTCGTCAACATTATAGTTTAATTAAACATTGGCGAAGCAGTTGCAACGAGATACAAGTTAGTGAAATGCATTTAAATTTTGCACGAAAATTCTACCTATATTGAAGTATTGAAATTTCACTCTATTAACTTTTCTTTTCTATTGAATACCAATTAATTTGTTTAGTCACGTCTTTCCGATACTCGAGATTTATCTATGGATGACGAGACATTGAAGGATATGGTAACAGATATAATGCGCGAATTAGGTGAAGAATATTCTCAGCGATTCGGTGGGAGTAAGTTTTGCAGTTCTTTTTGTACAGAGAGAAAAAAGTGACGAGACACTAGAAATTGTCGACAACTTGATAAGGAATGATGGAATTTGAATTATTAAACTTTTTTTCCCATTCCATTTTATTGCAGTTAGTTGACCTACTAAAACAATTGATGCAGGTGATGTTTTCTTCACTTTATACACAAAAAGGTCAATTAACAGAGAAATTATTATGAACTAGAGTCCACTCAACTCCCTAAAATAGGTTTGCAATCGCAGCTATAGAATGCTAGTTCTTTCAATACTATCATAACCTCCTCCTACTTTTCGTCCAGATTAAAAAACTGGTATGAAACCACGTCAGTTTTGGCATATTGATACACATTGCCTCTTTTGTGTGTTAACTCTGTCCACATTTCATAACAAGTCATTAAATCTTGAAATTTGACAGATAAACATTTCAGTTTCACAAGAAGGTGGAGATGTAGTATCATCTCAGGATCTGTTTCTTTCCGCAGATAAAGACAAGGTATTTCATTTTTTTTTGTGATTTTGGATTCATTTGTCTTGGTGTAACTTATTATTTATTATAATTAATGTATTTGATGCAAAATTTGCTTCTGTCGTTTGTTGCTGCGAAATTATATTGATTACACTGTTGTCATAATGCTGTTTCCATACTGTCTTAGAAATTAAATTTTGGTTGTGACGATCTTAATGCTTGAATGTGGAATTTTTTAGGACTTATCAGTGGTTGATTATCGGCAAGATGGACTTACTGGTCGTTTTTTATCTCATGAAATGTTAACACATTTGGATGCCGGTGATGAACCCGAAATAGTTGACACAGAGGGACATAGCGTTTCATGGAGTTATTTAGATCAGGTTTGCATCAATTTATTTTATTCATTTACGAGCACTATAATCTCCCGATTCATTTTAAAATTTATGAGTTAGTTTACTTTTATTATGTTGCTGCAGGTGACTGGAGATGCAGGTCCTAATGAGCCAAATCCTGTGCGTACAAAATGGTCTTCTACTCATGGCATGGTGCAGTGTTCAGTATGCTCCCGTACTTTTGTTAATATGGCAAGGTAAGATTGAATTTGTTTTATTTTAACAGTATTAAACCTTACCTAAACAAACAGGGGTTATATATGGATTAGATCAAGCTAAACAAATGCTATTTTGCAGATTAGAGAGGCATATTGCGGGTTTTCATGCTACCACTGGATCACATCCATGCGTTCTTTGTGGTAACCGCTTCAAATACGATTATAATCTTCTTTCGCATTATCGCCGTTCTTGTCCATATACGAAGTTATATATTGATTCAGAGAAAAGGGAACAGGTAAACATGACTTGCAAATTTTTATGAATGTTGTTTCTCACAGCTGGCATACTTAGCTTTTTATTTGAATAAGATTTAAATATTTTTGAATTTTATCTAAGAAATTAAGATTGCCTTATTGGTCGATTGGAGTTAAGCCCTTATCCATCTTATTCAGTTTTTAATGTAAATTTTATTACATAATACGTAGATCGTTACACTTCTTTCATCAGTTGAGAACTGGGAATTAATGAATTTATGATTTAGAAGCTTATTGTGGATTGTTCATGGTATAAGGAAATATTAAATTTTTACCGAATATCATTGAGCGTGTCATTTTCACACTAAATTTTTTAGTTTGATGCCCTTACACTGCGTCGTGCAGTAAGAGCACTGGCGCAGAGAAATTTGCAGTTGTCCTCAGCGCAGAAAAAAATGATTGCTAATAAACGTGAAGTTTTGGATAGTTCAGTGGTATCTATTCCTCATTTTCGCACAAGACCACCATTTGAACTAATGGTTATGCGGCCGGATCTACCGAACGGAAAATCATGTCCTGTTTGTGGTCAGTGCACATGTTTTTATAGAAATATTGTTTATTAGGAGTTTCCTTCCAATAACCGTCATACATTCATTAGACTTATTTAATAAGGTCTGGCCACCGTCAACCATAAACCTGGTTCTGAGTATTGCTGGACTAACCGTAAACATATAATTTTCAGTGTGTCTCTTTTTCTTCCTTCACTTTGTTAAAGGCAACAAGCTAATTCTGTGTAGGATCTAATTCTGTTATACTTAATTTTATCCCATTCACAATTTTCTTTCTTATCAGTTGTATTCCTTTATCGTCACTGTTTATAGGAGTGGTATTTTACGGTGGACGTGCTGTCGAGCGTCATGTAAAAGCTGTCCATCCTTCGGAAGTGCGCCATTACTTTCTAAGCGATACAAGGAAAGAAACAGAAACAGCTGTATCTGGCCGACAGCGCTGTGCAGGTATGCATAATACACCTTTAAACGATGTTTGTAATAAAATGTCATCGCTGAATATCGATCAGTTCGATTTTCGAATTATAATAATAAAAAGATGTGAACTTATAGAAACCGCAGATAGGTCGGGAAATACTTTAAAGCAGACAGATGATACTGATAACGTCGAACCTCCTCCTACACTTGCACCCGAAGTACCTATTCAGGAGGTAATTTATTCCATCTTTTTCTGTAGAAGTGAAATCTTTAGCAAACATTTTTTGTCCTTGCTGGTATCATATCTTTTACCCAATGAAAATATCGGCTATTGTTTTCTTTGAAGCTGTTGCTGATGTTGAAAAAATGACAAATGAAGCTATTTTGCTAATGCATCGGCAGTGACTACCGACGCTTAGTAGAAAACATTTATCACTGTAGTTTATTTTCATTAAAAGATTTTCCTGCTCATATGCTGTCTTAATTAGCGCTCAGTGAGGAGTCATTTTAAGGAAGTAATGCTTGTCTTCAAATGACCGATCGAAGTTGTGCAGTAAAAAAGTCGTTTTGAAATGAGCTCCAAAATGTCAATTTCTTCAAGTTCTGCTTTAATTATTAGTTGTTTCCACCTATGAGACTCTTCGTGTCATAGTGCCTGAGTATTTTTCTTTAATTCATTGAAATATTTCAGCCAGTGGTGGCAACGGAGCCTGTCGTTCGTCGCGTTTGTCGTATTGATGAGGATCCCGATGGGAATCAAATTTTCATCGATGAAAACGGAGAAGTTGTATGTATAAATATATTTTTGTTCGGTTTTTTTCGACTAGGAGGGTAGTTTAGAATGACGTTGCTGTTTTTTCGATGTAGTCACACACACGGACAGCCGCAAACTGAAGCTTCCTCCTTCTTACCTCAAGTTGAAGTTCCCTCCTGCTCTTACTTATCTTCATGGTCTCCCCCGTTCTTCCAACCGCAGGCATGCTAAACATGCTAGAAAATCTACAGGTCCTACAATTTCTGCTTTCAACCTTTATAATACATACCCCAGTTACGGTTGCACACACACCGTCATCTCAGAAGTTAATTATTGCTTCATTTCTTATGAGTAGTATAGTGGTGACCACTTCTGGATCCCAGAGCAAGTTGTTTTGAAATCTCTTACTGAACATCGCTTCACGTCTTATTAGATCAACCTAGTCACTTTATGGATGAGTGAAAATAGTTATAGTCGGAACATACTATAGACTCTGGATCCAAGCTAACTGAGAAGAGAGTGCTGCAAATTAGTTGGAAAGATTCAAAAGGCCGACGGCTAGTATTTGCAAATCTTATTTTGGAGTTGGCGCAAGCTAACTGTTCATGTACGGATACATTTATGATTTCAACTAGTTGTACCACATGAGCAACAGTGAAACAATGTGCTTATTTTAATGACTTATTATATTGTCGTCATTATCGAGTAGTGCATTTGATTGGTTTAGTTGTTTTTTATGTTATATATTTTAAGATCGAATTAGGAGAGGATGAGGAGGTGCAAATCCAGTTTGATGATATTGAAAGCGTCCAGCATTTATTTGAAACTGGTCAACTTACTATGGCGAATGATGAACAGGCAATTATTTTGGAAGGGAATTTAAATGTGAGTACATGGAAGAATTTTTATCTAGATGCGACGAACGAATATGAAAATTTGGTCGTTGTCTTTGCTTTCTATTACTTTCTTTAGCGTGCTTTCTAATCCAATTGGAAATTCACTGGTAGTTTTGAATAATATAGAATACATATATGCTTACGCGCTTTTCATGGTTTTGTTTATTAGTGAATCTCTGTCATGAAATAAAATTCCAAATAAGCCTTTTCATGCAGGATTCGAAATATTGCTATAATGTGAACTATGGTGACAATAATACCTCGATTTTACCAACCGGTGGTGGTACACGTTTTGTGGAGGGTGAAAAAGATGGAGATAACAGAGAAGCACGAAAACAAGAGTTTGAAGGAAATCCACAACATTATGGTTGGTATAATTGTAGTGGATTTATGAGATCTCTATAAGCAGTTATAGAAAATTATGAATTTCACATAAGTAGAAGTTAAACTCTAAGAGCTAGGAACAGATCGGTATGTACTACATAAATCATATGATTGTAAATTCATATGATTGTAAAAAGACTAATATTACGACCACAATATCTCAAGGTGAGGATGTGCATTGGATAAATCAAGAGTACATAAGTGTGCTCTAGTCTAATTTTATGACTGATTAAGATAAACTAGTATGTATTGTGATTTTATTTATCCAAACTTCAACCAACCATTGCATGATATTTTCCTGGTTTATTTGAAGCTTCAAAAAAAGTACAAATCTTTCATTGCTCTCTATTACATTTTCGTTATCTGTTATGTCCTGCTTTTTTGCCTACTTTTTATTATGTTAGTTACAGATTTCGGTACTACAACTGAACCGATGAAATCTGACCCGAGCTGAAATCCAAGGCTGAAAAATGTCTGAAGAGGATATTATTTTGTTATCTGTAGAGGTATATCTGTTTTAATTTAATTTGTTACTTCATTATTGTCTTTCATTGCATCTGCTGATAGTTTTTGGTATGTTAAGGTAGTTTGGTGCGAATCAGTTTAACAGGGAAAAATACTAGCTAGTTGGGAGCATGTTGATCATTTTTAAATATAATGAAAGTTACGTCGTAAAAGTGCAACATTTTCGGTTTTTTTTAATATTGTAATATTACTCGTTTTTTTTATCTCGCTTTTTTATCTCATTACTTTTTCAGGATGAGGAACAGACATTAGGGAAGGTTTTGGAAAAAGTTATGTACAATGAACTGACCTTCTATTATTTTATAAAAGTTTGTGAATGTTGTTAAATGTACACATTTTTTATAACAAAACAATTCATTTTTTATGTATATAGCAGTTCAGTCACATCTCTGTCACTGCATTTATTATGGGAAATCATGAAACATGGATCATACTGTAATATTTTTCACGTTACGGAAGAATTTCGTCGGATTTATGGCGGTCGAAACTTTACTTCCATTCTTATAAAAGGTGCGTCTGTGCATCCCATAACTTTATTTTGGTAGTTACCTGTTCCATAAGATTTTTTTTAACTTTCGAATGAAAGTTTTTCAAATTTTCATTAATTTAGTAATGGTCCATACATTGTTGGTTATAACTATTGTACATAAGCGTATTTTCAAAGTTTTCGTCGAAAGACTAGATATTATGATATTCTCCTGATCCATGTTTTGAGGTTGTATTGATTTTATTTCGTCATTTTTCTGTGATATGCATCATCGTCCATTATTTCGAGTTACAAAATGATTTATAATTAGTATTTTGGAAAAGTCGTGCCTGTCGATTTATTCTCTCCGTCGTGTCAGTTTGTATGATTATCGTAATTGTTTTCCTTATCGTGAATTCATAAATTTTTGTTTATCAAGTTCTATGTTATTTGAATCAGATTTGTTGCATGATACAATACAATATCGCCAGCCAGATTACTTTATCTTTAAATTAAGTATTGTATTAACAGGGAACAAGGAGTATGAACGTTATGAACGCCTAGATGGGGAGAGGTAGGAGAGGTAGTGATTATTGCTATCTGTTGGAAGTATTGCCATGTATGCAATTATGAGGAAGAAGATACAAGATAAGGGATGTTGAGCTTTTTGGGGTTTCTAGCTTGGTTAAAATTTTTCGAGTTCTTACTTTTCAACCTGATATGTCAAAGTGAAGTGTGACAATATTATCAGTTACTTTTGTCATTTAGTGGACTTACCGTATGTCTTGGCATTTCAAAGTTATAGATTCTTGGTATTTCGCGAATGTATAAATGGCTCTGAACGAAGACAGCGATACTCATGATGATGATCAAATATTGGTAGCATTCAGGAAATCCAACCATTCGGAAAATGAAGCGCCATCGTCATCATCACTATCGATGTTGAATGCACAGCATGAATTACCTCTTGCACGGGTTAGGACGATCATGCAAAGTGGTGGTGAGCAAGTACCGACCTCCAGTGAAGGCTTATTTGCTATGACGAAGGCCGCAGTAAGCACCGTTGTACCAAAGTCTTAGTTATAAACGTTTGTATTTAAAAAAGATTTGCTATCGGAATAATAATTTGATAAATTGGGGCGGAAGATCATTGCTCAATTCGGTATTAATTTCTTTGCAGAAGTTGAAACTTAGACTTTTTTGAAATCTTTTTTCGTTTTATTAAATCAAAAATTAGAGTAAACTAAAATGCAATTGTAAGCTGGTATAAAGTGTTATTTATAACTGCTGAATAATAGAAAATTAAACAAATATAGCACTATGGTGTTGGCTGTTTTGAATATTGATTTTAAATTTAATTGAACTATGCATAACTTCGTCGTTTCGAAGTACAAATAGGATTACTGTTTGTTCAGGTTATTCATTTCCTTAAAAATTCCTTTTTTAAAGGAACTTTTCGTATGCAAATTAGCAAAGGAGTCATATGAATCAAATGACAAACCAAAATATATCGAATATTCTCACTTGGCGGATTATATTCAAGACAACGACAAACTTGAATTCTTGCATGGTTTGTGTTAAATTTGATATTTCATTGTTCTAACAGAGTTCATCGAAGTGTATGAAAAGAAGCAGTGGGATAGTTTAACTGGGAGCTTTCAAGTTTTCTTTTTTATGCGAAGAATTATTCTATTGCTGAATGCAGTGTGTTCACTGTACTGAAGTTCCACTATAAGATATTGGGTAATTAATTAGTTGGTGGGTTTTTGTAGAAATGGTACCTCATATGGTGCGTCTCGCTGATGTGATGCATTTGGTGCAGCCGTCTATTTCGCAAACAACAGAATGAAATGATATCGTGGATTGTTATGTCGTATTGAATAATGCTTTTTTCTTGTTGAATGCGTGTTTGTGACAAAATTTATTCATACTACAGTTTTCCACTTTAATATTTTTTAAGTTTAGTTTTGTGGTATGTTTCCATATGCTTATGTATTTTACCTTAACTGTGTCTTGCTGCACCTTTATACTTAAAGAAATAATGCAGATTTTAAAAATCTATAGGTTGATTAGCATAAAGAAGTAGTATTTCGTAGTTTGGAATGTCAAAGTATGTCTTTTTTTATTTTCAAAAATTCTGATTGATTAAAAATGAATATGATCTTCGGTTCTCTGATTTCCTGAATAAAAAGTGTTGGCAGTTTTGTGGTCCAAAATTAGCCTCAATTATGTCAACTCCGACAATTATGTTAACAAAATTATGATTCCTGTCATATGCCAAACAAGCAATGGTTTCCGTTAGTGACCAACTTTTTCATTTGCAAATCCTCAGTGCCACCATGCAATATGGTGGCAGTATAGCACTGGTATGTCTTACAATGATGTGTTTAATTTCGCTTTAAAAATTGTTGAAGTGTGCAAATGACGTAATGTCCAAACAAGTCTATTTCGAAATTATACCTTTATGTGAACTGCAAGTGCTTTTAAATTTTGTATAATGTTCGGAAGTTGGATGTTATCCTTGTGCCACTACCAGATTTGTACAAAATTTCGGAAGATTCCTTTACTTAAACCTGAGACTGGATGGCGATAAATTTTGATACATGTAGGATGCGCATATGACTTAATGCCTCTCCTTATGTCAACCCTCCAATGCCGATATAGAAGTCAAGTAATTGAAATTGAAAAAGTGAAAAAGTGTCAGTTATACATGAAGTAGAAATTTCTTCTAGCTTAACTGCTTACAGACAGACGAACGTACGGGTGTGAACCTGACATTCAACCAGCTTCGGAATAAGTCTTACAGTTTCGCTAATGCTCTTAAACAACTGAATGCCAAAAAAGGCGACATTGTGGTTGTTTGCTTGGAAAATTGTTATCAGTATGCTGTCATCTTTCTGGGTAGTGCGCTAGTAGGATGCTCCATATCGGGTATCCATCCAGAATCCACTCAACGTAATGTTTCCAAATATATGGATACTTTTCGAGAATAGGATTGTTGCATGCAATTTCTGCTTGGTTGAGACCTCTTGCTTTCGTAAAATATATAAAAATTAAGCCAATCAACTTTTGGAGTGATGCGAAATAAAAACGCTAATTTTCGAATGTAGTTTAACAAGATATGGAATTGAAACAGCTGGCGATTCCTTATTTTGAACTTTTTCTGGATAAGTGTCACACCTTTTCCATCTTCAAAAGTAATGTAAATTAGCTGGAAAATCAGGAATAGCGTCTGATTAGATTCTTTCTAAAAATCTAAGATGGGGATTCCTTAAATTTAAATTATTTTTAAGTGATTTAGAGAAAGTTTAGATGAGCTGAAAAAAGCTTTGGAATTAACAAATGCTAAATTTCTGATTGTTTCATCTCATAATTATCATATCGCTGTCAATTATGCTGCACAATGCAAGGTTTCCCATTTTCATTTCATAATGTTTTTTTTTTTGAGAATGGAAAGATCACCATAAATTATAATACTTTAGTGAAAATTATATAAGTTGCTTCATATAAGACAAATTAGAATGAATACTATGCATCAAACAAAATCAACAAAATATTTCTCGGATACCTCCCGAAATTTAAACTTTTTTCAATTGATTGTTTTCAAGAACCTGAACTACCAGCAATTGATTGTTTTCGAGAGCTTGAACTATGCTTACAACATAATATCAGAAGCTACATGCAAGCATAGCAAAATTAAAGCGAGTAGAGAAGTAGACTGAGCTGTTGACCATTTCAATCACTGAAGTGATCTATGGTTGACATCACTGACATAATTATATTCACTTAAGACAAATGAAATTTCCTATTAATTTAGTGTAAGTTGTAGCCGTCACTGAAAATCTTTTCGTTCAAATATTTCTATTCCATTGCAGTTAATAATCCTGGATAAACATTTTGCTCAATTTGAAAATGATTTCGATAGTTTGATCAAAAAGTGGGAGGAAAATTCGATTGGTACCAGTGAGATAGACATTACACTGGATGACGTACTGCTAACACCTTTTAGTAGTGGTACTACTGGATCATCAAAATGTGTCCAGCTGACTCATCGTAACTTCAACGTTTCAACTGCTATCCTTAAACAGTAAGTTAATTAAATGATTAAGTAAAGAGTAAAGATATATTCAAATGTTCTCTTTTTATTTCTTATGGAATGTTAATTCCTTGCAAACTCTTTGTTAATATGAATGATCATAACGGTAACATCAAATTCTATCTTATTCATAAGAACATTCATTCATCCTTCCTACATCTTTCTATCTTTTTCTTATTCTTTTTGTTTCCGAAAAAAGAAAAACACGTAATAATTTTAATGTGTATTTGTGTAAATATATGAATCAAAAACCTGAATGGATCACATACTTATTCATTTTTTAGGGCATTATTTGACAAATTATCGGAAGGCCGCCGACGCGTAACTATTGGCATACTACCGTTTTATCATGGTTCCGGATTCTGGGCATTATGTTATTGCTTATTAGAAGGACATCAGACCATTATAATGGAACGTTTTCATCCAGCAATAATGTTAAATCATATTGAAAAGTACAAGGTACCGCTTAAATTTTTTAACATCAAATATTTAAAAGTATGTATATACCAACTAAAAATTCTTGTGTACTTTATAGCACACCGAGCGAATCACCTACTTTTTAATTAATCGGTCTTACTTTCTGTAGTAAATTGACTTCTGATTCTGATTGTTTTACTCTTCTCAAAGAAGTTAATTTTTCCATTCCACAAACTTTCCAAATAGCTCATTTATATTCGTGTACTAGTTAGAAGATAAATAGCTCATTTATTTTCGGATGTAACTGTCTCAGCATCTATGTTTAGATCGATACATTAAATGTAGTACCGGCAATACTCGAGAGTCTCTGCCAGGATGAAATTCAAACTAAGTGTTGGGATTTGTCATCATTAACGACTGTATTATGTGGAAGTGCTCCTTTGGGTAAAGAACTTAGCAAACTATTTCTGCACAAATTCCCTCATGTGATTAATTTAATACAAGGTATTTATTTCTGCTAGTTATTCCGGAATTTAGATCAACTGCTAAGTGTCCCGGAATTTAGGTCAACTGCTAATGATTTTCGACAAATTTCTGCTGCTTCAAATAACTTATTACTTAAGTGAAAGGGGGGATACAAATGTACACATTTTCATTTATTAATAAAGTTGAAACAGTCGAAAGTATTTGAGAAATGGAGAGAAAGAGAAAGAAGAGACGAATAGTTTATTCATGATTACACTAATCATAATTAAATATAACTAAAAATTATCATATAGTTAAGCTGATATAGCTTAGCATCATCAATCATCGTAATAAGTTTTATTAGCATTTTGTTTCCACAGTTCTTCTAATGTTCAAAATTATTACTGGTCGCTTCCAGGATACGGTATGACGGAATTGGTAGTTCTAAGCCATATAACACCGCTGGATACACCGATTGATAATGACAGTTATTTAGGAAGTTGCGGAAAACTGTTACCTGGTTTCGAGTCTACGGTTACTAATTGAATTTTAATAACGTTCATGATTTAATAAGAGCAATTTACGCAGTTAATTTTTGAATTTGACAACAAACTATTTAAATCCCAAAATAAAGTTGTCGAATCTTTCATGCATGGTGCAGCTGCTGGATGAAGAAACTGGTGCAGTCCAGAAAGAGCCGTGGAAACCTGGTGAACTCTTGTTACGATCAGAAGCGATCATGAAAGGTTATTTGAACGATACAGAAGAAACCAAAAAAGTTATTGATAGCAACAAATGGTTACATACTGGTAATTTATTTTCTATTTCTTGTCATTCCCCATTGACTTCAATTTCAACATTTTCCATTTTTAGTTATTTTCTGCTGACTTCAATTCCAACGAATAGTTCAAAATTAAAATTAAAGTATTGAAAATTGAACGCGAGTATTGCTTTAAGTGATCAATTCAACATTTCGTAAATATATGTTAAATCGAATGGAGTTCTATCTTGTTTGCATTTTATCTCCGAATATTTGTTGAATTTGTTTCTTTCTTAAATTTCAGGGAAATCCTGCATTTTGTGATATTACTTCAGGTGATGTAATGTGTTTTGATTCCAACAACTTTTATTTCGTAGTCGATCGAAAAAAGGATTTAATCAAAGTAAACGGCATGCAAGTGTCATCAATTGAACTGGTCATGTTATTTATTTATTTTTTATTCTAATCTAACATAATTTTAAGCAAGGTTATCTTTTAATTAGATGAAGTACTGGATTACAGTTGTATGCAAATTTTCAGGAGGATATCTTGAAACGCCACGAGAGTGTCAGCGATGCAGCTGTTGTAGGTGTACCGGATAAGCATCACGGACAGGTCATTGTACTACTTCTCTTAAAGATTTACATATTGTTTATCGGCTATTATATAGCTTTAAAAAATTTAGGGGAAAACTAAGGCGAGAAGCCAAAATTAGCAAAAGTTTATATTTCAATTAAAAGTGAAGAAGTAAACAATTTAAATTTAAATACGAATCGATATTTCCTTGATAAACCAGCATACTTTGTCGGAATGAATGATAGCATGACTAACAAAAGTAATAAAAATTAGTTAATGCATGTAAATACTGAATTCTGAAAACGGGAATTGATTGTGAATGATTCCATTTGCCAGGTTCCAAAAGCATTTGTTGTATTGGTGAATGATGAAGCGGTTGGCTTACAGTCCGTGAATCTCATCAAATATTTAAATGGTTCGAAACTTTCCCAATTTAAATTGAAAACTTCTACTATCAATTTAAAATGACAATGCGAAATGTATATGTAGAAATAGAGAAATTCAGCACTCAGGATCTAATCTACAGCGAATGCATGAATTTTAAATATCTATCATTCAATTCATACTTCTTGTCATGAAAGTTTTTGATTTAAGTATTTTGTTGTTTTACAAACAAAGATTGTTGTAAAAGTTTATTCCTTGTGGAAGATGAGTTCCATCCTTCCTGACGTTATAAGACAATATCAGGGTAGAATTGATCACTATTTGGTAGTACCGCTGGTAGTGCCGACACTATTTCTGGTGTAAATAATGAGTGATAATATTGCTCACACCGAATTAAGCCACAGTATTTAAAGCTGAGATAAAGAAAAAAAAGGCTCTGCAACCAAAGTTTGCTTAAAATTAAAAAACTGCACCACCTTATTATATCTTTTAGACATAACGCAAGCTAAATAAACATATGATTAGCATAACATTTGAAACAGTTTGACGTATAGATGAGTAACCATTACGGTATAAATTAGGTAAAAGACAGAATTAGAAAATTTTTCCAGAATGCAAGTACCTTGATTATTTAGATACAAAAATTTTTTTATGAAATTATTTCGGTTTTCCAGCACATAGGAGTTCTACACTTGATTACGCTTGGTCTTTTTTAAGCATTTAATATATTTGCCGACAGATGACCTTATCAATACTTCATCAGGTTGTATTTATCAGGAGAGTAACTAAAATACATTTATTTTCAACATGTATTGGCCATGTTTGCTTTAATTTATTAATTTCCTACAACTTCACTTTTTTAATTAATTAATTTCGACTAATCTTTGCTAATCGTTGTTAATTTTAAGCTATTACAGATCGGGTGGCACCTCATAAGCAACTGCGTGGTGGTATACAAATAGTACGTGGACTGCCAAAAACGCCAAATGGTAAAATATCACGGAAAGATTTGCTGAACGTCAAACTTGAATAGTTGTGAAAATTGTGCGATTAAAATTTCGTTGTACGATTTGATAAAAGAAAATTCTATTAAAGCGAATTTTGAAAACAGTCGAATATGTAGCAAAAAGGATTTTAATTCGCCACTGTTGAATGGATAATTCTCAAGAAAGACAAAAACAAATTTTAATTAAATATTTGAATCTAATTTAATTCATGCATTTACTTAATTCTAAATATAGTCCATACATTTACTCCAATTCCCGAAGTGTTGTAATTACTGCAGACGTATTGCTAGTTGAGGCTGAAAGATGCTATTAAGCGCATGAATGTTAAATTGATTTTTTTCTCTGATGAAAAGAGTTTACATTTTCCTATTGAATAATTTTAATGATTGCAATGAGAAGAATGGAACATTAAATTGATTTTGCTAGTTTGAAATTACTATTTGATTTCTATTTGGAATATTGCCAATTTGAAATATTGTATAACTATCTTTTAGGTCTAAAACTAAAAATTTTTATTTTGAACATTCACTTTTTGTTTTTTATTTATCAAAAATTGTGACAATTATTGAAGGAGAAGCTGCAAAAGAAAATAACAATGAAAGGAAATTATTTAAATTAAGATTGCATATTTGAGAGGAAGTTGAAAATTGGTTTAAAAAAGATTTATGAATTTCGGAGCTCATTGTTTAGTCAGTTATCATTTTAGATAGCCTGTTTAATATATTTGATCAAACGTCTGCTTCTTATTATTCATAACTTTCCTTCTTATTTTATTTACACTTTCATGTAAATCTGTAGGTTAAAGGGAAAAGCTTTCTATTTATTCGAAAATCACAAACATTTCTACTCTTTCATATATTTTTCAGATTGAGTGATGTCGTGGTACTCAAAAATTTATGTATTTGTGCGAAATTATCGTAAAAAGCATCCGTTTCGTGGATTCTTTCTAAATTTATCTCTAAATGCGCTCCTTTTCATGCAACTTCTCATTTTCATCTATTCGTATGCTTCTAATTTCTTTCATTTTAAAAACAATGATTATCATTATCACATTAATGAAAGATAATTATCAGTCTCTTTAAAGGTTTTGAGTGATTTGAAAACTAAATCAAAATGAATGTAATTTTTTTCAGAAGCATAACAAACGATTTTAATACCATTTTCTCTATTTTTTAAAACAAGGAAAAAATACTTCGATTTTGCATATCATTTGATAATTGTTTAATTTTCATTTTTCGAATTATCACAAAGAAAGCAGTTGTTATAGAAATAAAAATCAATCAATACCTTATTTTAGATTATTGAAAAAGTACAAAAACTTCTTGCCAGAATTATCTGAAAATTTAAATGAAACCTGAAAAGACAAGTTAATTTTGGAAAATTTAGAAAAATGAAGTAATTGTTGCAGATATTACGTATACACATGGATCACTTGTTTTCAATTCTTAACAAACACCACTCAAATTACAATCTATCTAATCATCTTCAATGTGATTCTCTTCATGGTCATTTGGTCTCTCATAATGTCACTTGTCACACCAACTGCACGAGTACCTCTTCAGTACTTTGTGAGCCCTTTAAATTAACATTTTAAATTTCAAATTATTTGCTATTATTGAAGAGATTTAAAAATTACCTGTCTTCTTAATGGCATCTAATAATAACAGCACATTAATTGAAAAAGTTAAATTAAAAAACTTTAAAATTTATAGTTTTCTAACATATAAATAATTCTCTGAATTATTCAACGTAATTTCAAAGTTATTATAAATTATAGCATTAAAAAATTTTTTACAGCATTTTGAAGGGTTGTAATTTTTATCTCAATAGTTTATCGTGATGTTTGTCTCTAGAAGAAATTATAGGAAAAATTTTCTATTGCTTTGCATAGTAGCCATGAATTAATTCATTTAATTGAAATAATGTTGTAAGATAATTTTTAGAAAGACTAATTCTTATAAATTCAGACCGATAAGGAGACGGACGAAAAGATAAAGGCAGTGACACCATTCAAGGAAGACCGATATCTCCCAGACACATCTACCAGTGAGCAGGTACAAAATCAATCCGATATATTAAATAGTTTTGCCGAAAATAAGGGACTACGTTTCGTTGAAGTTGACAATTTCAATCGTCTAAGGTAAGGTATTCACCTCTATGCTTATTCGCTTTCCATAAATTAAAAAATATAAATTTTTTTGAAGAAACCGAAAGATTTTCATTAAGAAAAAATAAAAATAAACAAGTAGTTTTCATCCTAAAAATATGAAAAATTATTTCTGTCATTAATTGCTTCTCCTCGGAAAGATCAAAAAGTTATATTACTGTGAAATAACAAGTAGGAAACCATTGGGGACCTTAAATCTTCAGTTAATTTGTTTTAAAACACAATTTACACATCCTACCGATTGCGGGTTTATGAATGTGTATTTTAAACTAAAACTAAATTTTGTTTAAACTTTCATTTCAAGATACTGCTATCAATGCTCGCTTATCAAACCTGATCGAAGCCATCACTGTTCATCATGTGGTTTCTGTGTTGTTAAATATGATCATCATTGCCCATGGATTAACAAATGCGTCTCATTCAATAATTATAAATACTTCATCCTTTATCTTATCTATAGTTGCATCTTATTAGCTTGGTTAATCTTTTCATTATCATTATTTATTTCAACAATACTAATTAAGTCATTATCAATTATTTCTGTTATCATCTATTATCATTTATCATTCTTACGCTACTGCTGAAAATTAAATTTTAAAATGTGGTGTTTTTAGGATAGAAAATTAATTATTATTAGCATTTTTTCTTTTTTCATTGAATTCTGTACTTTCATGTAGGAATTAAAAGTTTTTTGAACTATTGAACCGAAATTTTTTAGGGCTTTGTTAACAAGCATTGAATGTATCGTTCGATATTTTGTACGACAACAATGGACCGAACAAATTGTTAATTTTATTTGTGTCTTTTTATGTGTTATTTTATTTGCTATTTTTGGTTATTATCCACTTGGAGAGCTTCTCGTTTATCACATACGACTTGCGACCTTAAATGAGACCACCTGCGAGCAAGCAAAACCACCTAATATTCGGTAATATGTGTCCATTGCAATATTATATTCCAGCACTTTTTTATAAGAGAAAAGAAAGTGAAAAAAAGAATACTATGTATGTCAGGCAAATATTCCTTCTTGCCAGAATATTTCCTTCAAATACCGAATTAATATTAATTAATTGAATTTGGAAATAAAATTTGAAATAATTATCCCATGGAAAATTCCATGGAAAATTATCCCATGGAAAATTTGTGCATTTATTTCTCGAAGTTTAATTTATTCTTTGCGGAATACAAACTTTGCTGCTAAGTAATTAATGGAAGAAAACTAAATTTACAAAATAATGTTGTAAGGAATAATTTGAGAATAATTTAAAAACTTACCATAAAGATTGAAAATCATTTTAAAAACAAAAAAACCAAGGCTAAAATACTACAGAGAATGAAAGCTTCACAATCTTCCGCAATTCTGAAACTTATTCAAGAAATTTATCACTTGTAATAATACTTATTAAGTTTGCCCCTCGTTTCTACTGCCTTCCAGAAATATAAATCTATTATAAACTCATTCATTAAGCAAAAAATTTTTACTTAATTCAAATTTAAAAATTGAAATTAGAACCTGATAAATATTTCAGCGGGGATTCAAATGCTGATTATAATATGGGAACATATCGCAACTTGCGTGCTGTATTCGGTTGGGGCCTATGGGCATTTCCCGTTGATTCTCATGTAGGAGATGGAATACACTTTCCCATATGTTATTCCGAACGATCAGCAGCTTGTGCTGAAATTCGCTACAGCGTATATCGAGAAGATGAACGAAATAAAAATTATGAACATTTTTGAATCATCCATTTAAGACAGTTATGCTGCAAATGAATACAATGTATGTTTTTATGTTTTATATCAAAATATATTTCATGTCAATGTATGGTATAAAATTCCAATGTTATATTTCCATTTCTAACTTCTGAAAAATAAGAACTGAACAATCTAAATGATATTATTGATAGTGTTTGTAATGGGTAATTAATTTCACATTCAGTTGAGTCATTTACTTGTTGCAAAGTTTTTGAAATATTGCTCGAACAGAAATTATGACCTTTTGCTTTATTGTTAGTGTACTTCATATAGTTAGTTGACGGTTATCAAATAAAAATGAGTGTCAATATAAAATAAATATTACAAATAAAGATCAGAATAAAGAGGGATAGTTTAAAAGAAGTTTGATTTAAGGTCTTTCATAAATGACGAGGATTAGGATCAATGAATCTATAACAGCTTATCAAATTAACTCATATACTACTCTTAATACTGATATTTTTGAAAATTGAAATAGTCCAAGTTAATTGCATAAATATGAAAATTTACGATTTTCAAAAAATATTTTCTTAAACTAAAGGATATCGAATTTTAAATTTTGAAATGAATGGGATAGCTTTGTTGGTAATTTTCAATCAAAATTTTTAATTTGAAAATTCTCTGATAAATGCTTTTTGACATTCGCTAAGCTCATTATTACATTTCTTCATCATTCCTTCACACCTGTCAATTTCTTCCTCTTCTTCATTTTGGTTAATTTAAATTGATTGAAGCGAATTGCAAATTATCTCAATCGATGTAATTTGCATAAAATAAACAGAGAGCGAATTATTTCCATAATATCTGATTAATTTAAATGAATGTTAAAGTGTTGAGTAAATCGTAAAGAAGTGAAATAATTGAATTTGATCAATTATCGCTCGACTACTGGACAACTTAGTAAGTATTGCTGTTACTTTCTCTTTTCTCGAAATTTATAATTTTCTTTCGCTCTTTCTCTCTCTTCCTCTTTATAATTAGAAGCAGTTCCACAAACTTTTTCAGCATTTTTTTCTTTAAATCACATTTTACAGTGTAATCGATTGGTGGCAGCTTTATTTTTTGTTTTCCCTATTCTCCTTATCTTTTCTCATTCTTCATCTCATTCGGAAATGTCAATTTATGAAGCCATTAATTGAATTCAATTTTTGAAAGACAGAGAGAGAGAGAGAGAGAAGAGAAGAATAAAAAACTAAAGATAAAATTTAAATTTGAAATTATTAAAATTTAATTATTTTAGTAAAGGGTAGCTTCTTAATGGTTAATATAATCATTTTTAGTTTCTTTCAAACTGTTGTAAAAATGAGAAAGGAAATGATTAAAACAAATATAAACAAATAATTTATTGCAAAATAGTTAAACAAAACGATCAAAAAATAATAAAATTTCTTCAATATATTTGTAAAATGATGGATAGGTAAGAAAAAGAAAATTATGTAAATATTAAAAGTTCTAAAAAAACTTTTTTCTTTTTTCTCTTTCCAATCTTTTAAACAATGCGACAATTTAATGACAGCTATTCAATATTTAATAAATTATATTATCAGATAAAACGAATAAGTAAATGAAGGTATGTATATGTAAGACTGTGAGAAATTTTCAAAAATATAAGAAACAAAAACATTTATCCAAACCAATTAATCAACTATCACACATTGATTTATTGAAGGAAGTAAAGTAGCAAAGAGGCATTTTCCTTTTTATCAGTTCCTCCTTCCATGCTTCTTTATTTATCATCCTTTCATCACTTTTAAAATCTACGTCATCCATCTGTTGCTATTCAAAATTTATTCATTCAAAGTTTTTCATTCAAAATTTTTCGGTCTGTTGTTCTTTTGTTTTAGAAATTTTTCTTTTTACTTTGTTTTTAAAAAATTTTTAACTATTAATGAGATAACTATAAATGAAATAATTTTTTTCAATATTAACTATTAAAATCGAATGAATTTCAAAAATTCTTATTTTAATACTTTTATTATGCTTTGCTCATAATTATTACAATTTTTATTTAATGAAAAACTTTAAATGAGCCCTTCCCTTACCTAAAAATTGGTACAAAAATTAATTAATAGAGTTTTTAAAAAATTAATTAGCATATAAAATATTACAAATAATGAAAAAAAAGATTTCCAATTTTAATTTCAATTGAAATATTTGATGACACTAAAATATTTGATTCATTGAAGTGAACAACACACATTATAGTACAATTATAAATTTTACAAAATTTCAACATCTTATTGACACATTGACATTTATCATTGTGTTATAATTGTCAATTAAATTACAGATAACTTAAAATACAAATTTTAGAAGGTTTGTTAATGGAAAAAGGTGAAGTGTTTGTCATAAAATGTACTTCAGGTGGCATTATCCCATATTAAATTCTCATCGATCATAGCTTAGCTTTTTTGCCATTCTTTTATGCAACTTTGTTGTAAATTATTATTTGTTGGTTTGAATGAGAATGAATTATTTCATTCTACTTTACTTTTTCATTATTACTTTTTCAGTAATTTTTTTTCAATTTTTCAGTAATTATTACTTTTTCAGTAATTTCTTAAATTTAATTTGTGAAAATTTCATGGATCATGATTTATTATTAATAAATAAACAATTACTTTCAATTTCATATTTTTCTTCAATTTCAAAATCTATTCATTGTTATTAATTTTATTATTTAAATTTTATTATTTCTCTTTATTTTACAATTTTAAAACTTTGCATGGATTTTTTTCTCAATTAAATCAATAATTTCATACCTTTTCTCTCAAATTTTACATAAATATTCTGAAATTGATTGGATAAATAATTGTTAAAGTAATTGGTACTTCCATTCCTTCAACATATCCTTTTTTCTTATTATAAATTATGCCATAATTAATCAAATATTATTTCTGAAATCAAAATATTTATGATATCCGGAAATTAATCATTCTCTCAGTGCTAATTTTAATTTAACCTTTCTTCATTACAGTCGCAATTCAAACTTATAGCCGTTTTGATTTGTGGATTTTGAACTGTTGTTAATTCTTAAAACATGGTGTTAATTTGCTCATTACCTCCTGAAATTCAATTAGCCATTCTAAATTATTGCGACTTCTTCGCATTGCTTCAATTACGACAAGTTTGTTATTTCATCTTTTTTCATTTCAAAATCATTTTTTTGATTGGTTTATTTCGTATATTTTGTTTCATAGATTTTGTTTGCATTTCGAAGTTACAAGTTTAAAATAATCTGTTTGAATTGTTTAACAGGTATCGAAATACTACAAGTGGCTTGCTGAGCATAATTTATGTCACCGAAATCATCTTGATGTTACCGGTGATTATTTGGCAATATTTAGGGATTATAAGCAGAAAGGTTTTGCTCGCTTAAATGAACAAAATGATTATGAGGCAGTTTTTAATAAAATTTTTGTATTCATCAATCTCTATATGCCAGCTCTGCGCGAACTTTCGTTGCGTCACTGTTCAGTTGTTCTCACCTTGAAAGGCTTAATTCAGGTATTGCACTTTTTTAACAGCCAAAATAAATTTATTATTATCACTAGAAATGTGATAAATTGCAATTATTGATTTTCTCTCATGAATTTTCAATAGCAATACTGACAATAATGTATATCAATTACTCGATAACAAAAATCAATGTAGTAAAACATTTCCAGAATTATCGATCATCTGAGTATGGCCATTTTCCCATTATTTATCTAACTACTTTTTGTTTTAAATTCTTCACTATTTCTTTTCTAAATTTTCTTGTTTACAGCTAGCATCAGCAGCGCAAAATTTATATCGATTAGATTTAAGTCAAACTTGCAATAAGCCATTTTTCGAAGCAGATGCCATCTTGGCTTTGCAATATTTTCGACAGCTAAAGATATTAATAATGGATGGACTTGTGATTCAAAAAACTGCTGGCAAAGGTATAACTTTTTCAGATTTTAATTTGTCATCTTCATACTTTATTTCAGAATGAAAGAAAATTCATTCTGAAAAATATAAACTTGAAAATGAGAAAAAGTTTTTTAATCTTTTAAATTGGACAAATTAAAGTTTTAAAATATAATGGTACACATTTCTGAAATATTCCAGAACACGTCTATGTTTACATTAAATCACATTGTGTGCGCAAATGTGAACCGATTATATCGATTATAAATCCACATAATCGATTGCCGACTCTATTTAACTATTTCTAATTTTTTAAATGGATTATTATTTAAATTAATTAATATAAATTGCAGGTTGTTCGCATCGACTAGAAATGCCACCTTTACATTATATGCAACATTTGGAGACACTCGTGCTCAACTGTCCATATGATACTTTAGTCAGAATATTGTATTCATTGTGTGAAAGCCATTGCAATTTGCACAAATTGAAACATATAAGTGTAAGTGTGATGAATTTCTATTCTCCTCTGTTTTTTGATTGATTCATTAGCTAAATTTATTATAATAGAAAATTTTATTTCAAAATTTGCAGTTGAAAAAACTAAAAACTTTAAAAATTAATAAGAGAAAAACTTTTATATAATTATATCATTGCGATGATAATATAATCGATAGCAACGTTCAACACATTTATTACCAGATGATCACATTTGATCATTCCATCCAGTTTATTATTGTTAATAAAATATTTCGCTTTAGTGCGGGAAATAGACATATGAAGGAACTTTTTCAAGTGACAATAACAGCGCAGAAAAGAATTCCATTTATTCTTCAAACTTTGAAAGCTTACAGTCCATTTTATTAATTTTACAGTACCATCGTTATGACATTTGTGTTACAGCTTGGTGTACAGTATAGCACTGCAAAATATCCCGAATTGTTGATATGGTTCTTATTAACACATCGTTCATTATGTTTTGTGCATATTTGGAATGCTTTATTTGCTACCAATAATCAATTGAAACGATTTTACACGTGCGTTTATTTTTATTGATTTCGAATTTCACAGCTAACCAACAATTTTTATATAGACAAAGTCTACGTTACGTCTTCTTGAATCTATCTATCCTTGGAATTTTATTCTCATGATAAGGATCGCCTAACTTACGGAATTTACATAACATTAAAAAAAGATTGATCAAGTGCTTGCAACACTTTTAGTGCAGCTAATTACTATACATAATTAGGCTAATACCCTATAAAAGTCATAGGTGGTGGCAATTCAATAATTGATCTATGTCAAATTGGTTCTGCTTCTTTTTTGATCGTAGGAGAAGTGAGAAATGTGTAAAAACCGTTTGGAAACGTGACGTGCGTGAAGTATATTTTGAGTACAAGAATTATACTAAATTAGTGAAAGTGGTTGATAATTGTTATTCAACCTATTTCAGTGCGTTAATTTCATTACCAAAACTCACTGAGTTATATTTGGAAAGTTGTGAATTATGCGATCGGATCGATTCATCAATAGAAGTTCAATTTCTCAAAAATATTACTTTACGGGGGATTCATTGGAATGGTTTAGTACGTAGTATGCGTTATGATCCTGATAGTAGTCGCTGATAAGTTATCATGTCTACTAAACCATTAATAATTTGTAAATAAATAAATAAATTCTCATTAGTTTCTAAAATTTCACTGATATTTATTCAATTTTTTCGATCAGCACATAAAAGTATTACTTCTATATCTTACACCAATATCATAATGATATGCAAAATATAAGTATGTCTTTATGATTCATAACATTACATATTAGCTGCTAATGGATAATCGTTTCATACCTCTTAGTATTCCTCAGTACATCTCAATTATCAAGCTTATGCAAATTGCTCAAGCAAGCAAATTACTGATTACTTGAATGACGAGGATGAATCGTATAATTGCTTCATAGTATCTATAAATTTTCGAAGCGAATAAATTTAAAAGAACGAACAAACAAATAACGGTTTTCATAAGCAAACAAGTTTGGCTTCCATTTTTTGCTTTATGAAAGTTATTGAGGAGTGTAACTAAATTTTATCAAATGATGTAATATACATTGGATGAAACAAATGAAGAAGAATCAGAAGGAAACATATGATTGATTTATAGCCCGTATCATATCATATCATATAAATGTTTATTATTTAATACCCAAAACATTTATAATCAATTTAATATGACCTTCATCCTTTTCTTTCTTATGCCTTCTTGTTTTAGGTTATTTCAATTATTTTAAAGCTTCTTTTTCCCCTCCATAATTCCTAGAAATCATTTATACATGAATAAAAATTATACTGATCGATTTCATTTTTGTTTTCTTTCATTATCACTGCTTTTAAGTTGATGTCTACGATATTCGATCATTTCAAAGCTTTTTTCCTGCAATTTTTTAAACACAATTTAATCAAGTATTAATAAATTTAATAATAGAATGATAGCTTTTTTCTTCGAATTTCATATTTCTGACAGTGAAAAAAATTTGAAACGCACAAGAAATGCGGAAGTATTGACTTGAGTGTCACGTACGATACGTACGACATTTTGCCCAACAAATATTTTCTCTATTACTTGCAACGGAATTGATTGCGCTAGTGACTTCGATATTTGGCGAGAATTCATTTGTAATTTCTGTAGTGCACATTGATAGAGGATATAAGAAGATAAGTTTTATCTTTCAAAGTTTGTGATGAAAAACAAATGATAAGTGTTAGCCTTCTTCCCGCATTTCACAAAACAATTTAAATGTACTCAAAAACAATTTCATTAACCAAATCAATCATGTTGAATATGTTATGAAGTTTTCAACAAATGCGAAGTTTCAAAAAACATTTCAATTTTCATGTCAAACTTAAAACTTGTTTGTCTTCGCTGTTCACCTCATAGTTTACTTTTTTTTGTTAAAGCAGAAAAGTCTGAAACCTTGTTAGCTTCGTTTTTTGTATTTGCACATCTTAGTTCAAGTTCTTCACGTAGTGAATATGCTTCTGAAGTACGGCATCGGATCCCTTGTTTCAATTTAATATTAATTGCACCAAACAAAGAATACTTTCGATAGTTTTTATTCATTATTCGCGTTATTGGTTGCAGTAGCATCTGTTCATTTTTATCATTCACTATAACAAATAATTCACAAATGTAATTAAATAAGTCTGAAAATATAAAATTTACCGAATTGAGAAATTTTCTAAGCATAATTGGAAAAAAAAGATTTGACAAATATCAAATAATTAAATAAAAAATTAAAATGATGAAAATGAGTGAAAATTTACTTTTGTTCTTGAAAAATGCGATATTATCAAAGACATCGTAATTCATCTTCTTGTCATTTAATAAAATCGAGTCAGGTGTCTTGAAAAGACGAAAGATATGAATTTGAATAAATCCATCACCAATATTAGCAATTGATGTTATCATCGGCATAAGATCCAAATCTTTCTGGAAAAGAAAGAAAGCTTCAGAAGGAAAATAAAATTTTATATTAAACAAATATTTCATATGCTAATAATGATTGAATGTTTATAAGAAGCAATAAGTGATGGATAAGTTTCAAAGTAATCTTGCAGAGTTGATTAAATGGATATATGATGTTGGAATAATAAAACTTGAAACTTTTTCTGATAATATTTTTAATTTGCATGCTTTTTATTTATTATTAATAAAATTTCATTGAAAGAATTGAATTCGAAATATTTAAATGCAAAAATATTTGACAATTTTATAAATAAAATGTAGAAGTATTGGGAAAATTTAACAAAAGTTACTGCACTGAACTCATTTTCATCGTTTTGAAAATAAAAGAAAATTAAATGAAAAGCATACTTCTCCTCGTGAAGTTTTGGAAATTGGAATTAATTTAGCTAATATTTTCTTCTCGTTAATTTCATTTTGACCATAAATTTTAATAATTTCTTGTGTTGCCATTACACCAAATTCTGTATACAAATATTGCTCCGTCGTATCCACCAACAGTGGCCCTACGACAATGATGTAACTTTGAATGATATTTTATGCATTAGCTTATGTTGAATGAGAAACAATATCTTATTGACAACAAATTAGTAGAATAAAATCATGAATTTAGATTTCATTCTTTTTAGTTGGCATTTTAAGAAAAATAAAAATTATTAACTTGTTATCAATTGTTTCTTTAATTATTATCACATCATGCAATCGTTTATTATGATATTTCAGTCGAAGTGGAAAGAAATGAGAGTAGTAGCATAAAAATTGATTTAATCAAAATTATTTGAAAACTAATTTTAATTAAAATTAAAAATCTTCAATGTTAAAATTGATTAAAATAATTAACAGTTCATCAATGATTTACCAGCAATATTGCATTCGGGAATTTTCTCAGCTTTTTTATCGATTGCAGAAGATATCTGAAATTGATCTTAATGAGATAATTTATCATTAAAGATTGTTTTAGATTCATATGAAATATAAACTATCTCTGCTAACGAAGTAGGCTTCAAATAAATAAGAAATGTAATATTTAAAAAACAATTATGAAATGAAATTCTTGCGCTTTCAATCTGAAACATCTCTGAACGGATATGCATGCTTTTGTGTGTTTGAACATGTGATCATAAATAGAATACATGTATTACGTTGCATCTAAACGGTGTAATTGACACCAGGACTGCATACAAATATGTAATATTCTGTGTGGTTATTTTTAACATTAAAGATAAAATCAACATACTCGTAGTTTTGGGAACATATCAAAAAACTAAAGCATAACTACTATTTATTTCACATTTACCTGTTCCTGTTTACTGGAGAAACTGTTCTGAGTTTGGCATTCTGACAATGATTCCAGAATGCTATTCTCTGATTCACTCAAATAAATATCATTAATTATATTTTTCAGTAGTTCGATTAATTTCGAAATTTTGAATAAGTAATGACTTAAATATAAAGAAGGATCTTTTGTAATTTGATTTCTCATTGACACTAAATTACATTTAAACTGTATATTAAATGAACTTCAGCAGTAATTATTTAGCAGCAATTATTTTAACACATGACAAAAATATGCTGTTCATCAATTCTTTCAGAAATAAACAAGATGGGAATGATTAACACATTCCCGATATTTCCTAGATTGAATTATAAATAAGCAATTTTTATAAACAGTCTAGATAATATTAACACACGATGACATTGATAGATCAACATAGAAAATAAGAAAATGAAACCTTCTCAAGAATTTCTCATGCTTTTGCTTAGATAAGAACCTGTATAAGTCTTCCATAGCAAATTGCTTCCACTTAAAAATTTAACGAGAATTCCAGTATTAAATTAAATCAAATTCAATATCATACTGTTACATTTGAATAGTTAATTTTTTAAAGTTGAATTTGGCGTGAGATGTCAGTTTCAAATCCTAAATGAGATAATTAGCAAACATGACTCTTGCGCAGTCGCTTACCGCCTGGCAATAAGCTTTTAAAAACTTTCCTGCATAACTAATAATGCGTACTTTGGTTAATTGTAGTAATAATATATAAATCTCTCACTTCAGCTACGTCATTTTCGTTCCTGATACGTATTCCACGTACAATTTGTATAATATCTTTGCCAACAAATATTCGCTGAAGGCATCGACAGGGTGATAATTCAGGTTGCTTTGTGCAAATTTTCGGATTTGAGAGATATAGTTCCTAGAATATAATAGAGCAATTATCGATTAGTGAATAGAGAAGTTGGTTTAGTTATCTTGGAATGATTAAATTTGGAAGGTATGAACTTTGATTTCTATGATCTTTCCTGTTAAAGTAACTATTGAAAGAGGTAAATTAATTTAATTCCAAAAAATGACCATAAAATTAGGAATAGAATTTCATGCAAATTATTGGTTGAATGATTTCCGATCAAAGATTGCAAAGTTATTGAGGTAATGCCATCTTTTGATTTTAGAATCTAATTAATACTTCTTTTGGGTCACTTTCATTTTCATTTGCTCGAAGTTTGATAGTTTCATAAATTTGTAATAATTTTGAATTAGGTCGAATATGGACTTCTTGATTACAACGAATACTAATAGGTCCACTTAGACTATATATTACTTTCTGACCATTGCTCGATTCACTTTCCAATTCCACTAATTTCTTCATCTTTTCTGTAACCAAAAGCAATTTGTATAATTTGAAGAGATATTTTAGAATTATCGGAAGGTTTTTTCTGATATTCAGATATATCAGAAACTTTACTTAAACTTCAATTAAAAGTATATGATTGAAATTTTTTCTTAAATGTTAAGATTCATTTTGTTAATTTTTACTTGCATTCTCTTTCTGAAACTTAATTCAATCTCTGAGATCTAAAAATAATGACTGACAAATGAAATATGCTAATTAGAACCTTCAAATTCATTATCATCTTCCAATATATCAACAGTCTTTTCAGGTTCCGTCACTTCAAAATGGAGCATTCCCATCTTTCGACAACATAACGCAAATTTTGAATGAATTTCGATAATGATTGTATTTTCTCCAACCGTAACGATCTGACGTGTTTCAGCTAAAATATCGTCATCCCGCTGTAAGCAAGATCAATGTTAGATAAAAAATCCGCAATTTTGACGGAATCATTTTTTTTAATTAAAAATAAGCTGAAGATAATAATGTGATATAATTTACAAATATTTGTTTATATATTATAATATGAAATTCATTTTGGTAGGAAAATAATTTTTAATCAGAAAATTTCCGCAATTTGATATTCATGTCTTTTTTTAAATCTCAAATATAAGTCAATTTTTGAATAAATTTTTGTTGGCTTAAATTAGTCATACTCCATCAGCATGTCTTGTCATAAGCGGCTCAATTGTCGCAAAAACACGCTGTTCATTGTAATATCCCTCACCGATAATTTTGATCTTTTCATTAATCACAAAATTATGCTCCTTATCTTTTGAAATATTTCGTTTCACTTCCACATGAATAGGACCTATGAATTCATTCTAATTTCTACTTTGTAGTATATTTATTTATTTATTAAGCATAAATCACTTTCTAAACATTAGGCAACAATTATTTCTACGCAAATTATCACAACTTGGGCGAATTTTGCAAAGCCTAAACAGATGTTATTCGTTTTGAGATCTTAACAGTAAGAGATATTAATTGTTTATTAAATAATTTGTACATAGATAAGTGAATTTTAGAATAAAATTCAACTTATTAATGCAGATCATTCATCGAAAATAAGCCAAATTATATTTTTCATGTTAAAAAATATGTTGTACGGTATTGGATAGTAATATTTCAATATTCCGTGTTACCTTGAATGTTGCAAAATGGTGTAGAATCCATTTTCATACTTGTTAGAATACCCTGTCTGAACCATTCTCCTTCATCATTAGGCCATATTTTTTCGATTTCCAATTTCTTCTGGTACTGGTCTTCAACGACTATAATGAATAAATCAAAAATATGAAGGATTTTAGTCTGCACCATACCTGAATTATCATCTTTCAAGTGTCAATTTGAATAATTTTTGGTCAAATTACTAAAAATCATTTGGCCACACTTCTAGTACGTTAACGAATTTAAGAATTCTAAATTAATTTTCAGTTTTTCTGATTTAAGTAAATTTTAAATTTTGATTGTGTTTGGCATAATTACTATGCTTAAAATTTTAAAAAAAATTGATGATGTCAATATCAAGATTATTGTCATAGGTATGAGAACTTTGTAATGAAGATATAGCATCCAAACTCGTTGTTGTTCTACAATCAGATAAAGATGGATCACTTTTGAATCTGAAAGAACTGCTTTTCCTTTACTTAAAACTTATAATCAAAAATTTCAGTAGATCAAGTATGAAATTAGGGAATTAAGATCAACGAGCAGTAGCAATTAATATTTGTTTCTTTTAAAATTCCAATAATTGTTCAAAATCGCCTAAAATCTTCTAATTATTCATATTAAGTGAAATCTTACGATATATCGCTAATATTATCATTGCTTCGTTCAATACTCACAATATGTTCATTTTTCAGAATTCTCAAAATTCTTTCAATTTTATCTTTCATGGTATCATACTGAAAGTTATTATTAGTGGTAATCTATTTTTCTTTCTTTTAATAAGGAACTGTAAACATCTCTGAGATTACAACATCCTATCCTTTAATTTAACAATATTTGAAATTAATGCTGATAAATTAATTCAATTAATTGAATTGAATTGAATTAATTTATTAATTCAATTAGTTCATAAGTATATGTATGTGTAGAATAGGAAGTAAAAAAGGTTAGTAAAGGTGTATAACGGATGATATATTGGTTTTAGAGAGAGATTCAACTAAATGTACATTACAACTTTTCACAAAATATTTTACAATTAAATTGTTGGTATTTTTTGAATTTTCAGGAAACAGAAATAACAAACATGACTGGATGTGTCTTTGAATGCGTCAAGTACTGTAACCGATTCATCCTTTCCGGTTTCTTCCACATTTATCTTCATCACTCTCTTCTGTTCTTCTATAAATCAAAATAATTTTTTCCTTTTAAACGTATTTTTTTAATTTTCTTTCAACATCATTTTGTTTTCTATAATCAGATCCGCTCATTATATTAAGTACTTTTAAGATTTTAATATAAATCACATCCAAATATAATCAATAAAACTTTTAATTTTATTGGCTTAATTACTTCAAGTGAGTACTTCAATGCTTTCAGAATAATTGAAATAAAATTATAATTAATTGCTTAAAACTTCAATTTGAAACTATTAAAGCAAAATAGTTTGCGATGCATTTAATTTTTAATGAAGAAATAACTTTAATTGAAACAACCAAGAAAGATTTGAAATCCTCACAGTGTTAAGGAATTTTAATTAATTGAAGCAGATGGAACCAAATTGACTTCACTGTGATAACACCAACTAAACAAAATAATCACAAATATATCCAACCACTTTTTATAATTAAAATATTAAATGGTTTTTTTGGTCGGGTCGAGCAAACAAAGCATAATAATTACTATATGCATAAAATGAGACATCCAAACTTGAACTATTTGTTTTCTTTCACTCATTATATTAAATACCTTATAGATAGATTTCAATGTTAATCATATTCGATATCAACGATAAAACTTGAATATTTGCATTTTATGTCGTAAGTAATTATGTAAATAAATAAAAGATAATTATGTAAATAACAGTTTATTTTAAAACAAATTTGTTTTATAATTTTATTCATAAAAATATCAAAATAAAAGATAAGTGAGATTTAATTTTGTCGAATGGTAATTAAATTACTTTTCTGTCTTCTCATTCTGTGCAAGAGTTATTAAATAAGAATAAAGAAAGAGAAAACTTCAGCAATCTCTGTGTTTCTGATATTTAGCGTTACCTTACTGTTACCTGAATGTACTGTAACAGTTATTGTTCTATAATCCAAAAAAAACTGTTTTGCACTGAAGCATTATTTCAACGCTGATCACTAACATAATGAACTATTGATTCAGTAGTTATTATCAGCACAGTGGTCACTTTTCCTTTACTTCCATCAGTACCATAATTGCTTTCATTTATAAAATTACTGCAACATATTGGTCATAATCATTCCACTGCGCTGATAATAGTTTAAAAATAAAACAATAATAAGCAAAATAATGGATGATAAAAGATTATGAGATTAGCATTGTATTATCAAAAAAATTGTCGCAAATGACCGTTGAGGATAAAGATGAATGCTATAATGAAAACTCATTCACTTTTCAAAAATTTATTTTCATTGCAAATATGCAGATAAAGTGATAAAGTACTATATCATATTGTTTTGCAATCATTTGAAAAAAGTTGGTTCACAACAACTACCTTTAAATTGATTTGTTTATAAGGAAATAAGTTCAAAATGTAATTTCGAATAAAACTATTGTTAATTGAAATCATAATAATTTGTACGACGGTCATGCAGAAACCTCATGAATCGAGTGTATGTTGCTCAAGCATGTATGATAATCTTATATTCGATCAATACTGTATATGGTGATAATTTGTTGGCATCGCTCGGCTTTCAAACAGAACTTCAGAAAGCGATGACAACTTCATTTATAATATATTGCCTTGGATTAATTATATTTTTCGCATTTGTCACCATAATCTTCTGTAAGCTTTTCATTTCAATCAATAATTTAAATATTGTTTTCATTTTTCAATGAATAATTTGAAGAATAACTTTCTGATAAATTAGATAAAACATCTACAGAAATTATTATTCCTATCAATCCATCTTGAACTCTATTTTTACTATTAAATGTGTTCTTATTGTTTGATTAGAAAATCACTATTTGATGAAAAAAAAACAAAAATACATAGAAAGTTTTACGGAGGTTTAAAATTTTCATCATACCGATAAATAAAACACGTTCTTGCGGAATTTGCATACTGCAAATTTCAATTAAGTTTAGACCGATTTGTGAAATATGAGGAAGCAGTAAGACAGTTTCAAATGAAATCATCAAGCGAATCCATCCGATTAATGCATTCCATACGTACACAAATGATTAGTTTGAAATTGAAAAGGTAATGTAAATTAAGCAAAATATCGAAATTTCATTTCCATCCCTTTGGTTTCTGAACTTCTTTTAGAAATAAAGTATTAACTTTTAATTTTAATAAATGAGCACTTTTCATAAATTCATCCATTGAATCATTTAAATTTTATTGATTTTAAATTATTTTATTATTACTGAAAATTTTTTAATACAAATCTGTCATCTGTAGTAATTAACAACTTTTAGGACATTAGCGCTATTAGAAGCAGCCAAAAAAGTGCTTCATTTGAAGAAAACTTCGCAAAAAAAGATTGAAGCAATTGAAGCTGAACGATCGCCTATGTCCACTCAATTATTAAATCGGCAACAAAGCATTCGTCCGCCACTATCAACTCATAAAAAATTAGTCGTATCAAAATCAATAATGCCTATCGCTACATATTCTAAAAAACAGCAGATGAAATCGATAACTGATGATACACAAATTTGTCAGTAATGGATTCTAGAAATAAGTGATTATATACAGAAAGCAACATCCCCAGAATCATTTATTAATCGTTTTTTAATCTTTTATACAGGATTCTTTTTTTGCTCCTTGCAAAATCAAAAAACTTTTTTTTGAAATATCTTTGGAATTCTTTGAGATGTCTTGATATATTTCCGGGAATATGCGAATGAAATAAAAATTACGAGGCGGGGAAGATTGCGAACCTTCACTTATTGATTGCATAATGCACAATACGCTTTTTCAGTACGCTCAGTTGGGAAAAGCAAATCAGAGGTATCGGACAAAATAAACATTTCTGAGGTAAAGAAATATTATTATTGTTGCAAAAGTTAAATTAGCAAAAAATTGTCTATAATAGGAAGCACATTAATGTTAAGAAGGAATAATCGCTGTATCCACCAAATACTACGGTAGAAACTTACTTTTCATGTAATTCGAACAAAATTTTAATTTGCCTTTTAGTTGAAAATTTAAAAGATTTTGAATCTTACCAACCAACATTGCAATGATTTTTATTGCTGACTGAACAAATATTAAAATAAATAATTTACAATGAAAAAAACCGATGAAATAGTGATGGAATATTAGCTAATATCTTCTTTATTATTGTTGGAGAAAAGAAAAACAATCATCAAATGTGATTTTAAATTCAGAAAACCCAAGAAAGAATTGTATAAATGAATGCTACGCCTATTCGAATTCACTCTTCATCACTGTCAGCAACAATGCAGAAATACATTTCTTTCATCAAAATTTATTTTCTTTTTACTGCTTGTTGTGATCGTCTTGGTTGTCGAAATTTTAACACTTTAACAAATAATGAATCAATTGAGTTCAAAATTTGTAAGATTTCATTATCGGTTTGAAACATTTTAATCATCTCTCGTCATTTTGCTTTATTCGTTTCTCTATTCCCTTGCACAACGTCCCTATTCTGATTTAGAAATCCGTAATATGCAATACAACCGAAAATTTTCATGAAATCATATCCATTTTATGCTTTATTGGTTAATGGAAAGCTAGTTGGTACAACTAGAAGTGAAGCGATATTTAACCGTCTGCTGACCTTTGACTCGTATTCCTAATGAAGATATTTTTGAGAAATGCTTCGCATCCGACCCGTTCATCATGCAATAATACGAATGCCATTTGTTCATTAATTTAAAATTTTTTTCAAAAACACAGATATCTCAGCAGAAGGAACTAAACGACAGATTTATGCCATAAATAATAATTTTAATATTAATTTAACATATAAAATTCTATGAAAGTTTCTTTTTCATTTTTTTCATGCAATTTTTTGTTAAAAATGATTGATATTTTAATTGGAAAAACAATTTATTTTCTATTAATTACTATAAAACTATTAATAGCCATTTTGGGATTAATCAAATAATAAAAATTAAATTATAAAAATTTGATTGCATAATAAAGAAGAAGAAAGTATTGTCGATAATTGACAGAGAGAATCTGAAGAATAAATGAAAATAATAACCAGCCGACATAACAATTAATTTCAAACTAACGTTTAAAAGAATTTCCCAACCATTTTGAGTATTTCAATGCTAACATATATTTATATTTCAATTGATTTTGTCCATTTTCGGGTACTTTTTAATATTTCCAATAATGAATACTATGCCTTTTACAATTTTTGATTTTCCTAATAATCATAAGTTTAAGTTTATAAAGTTTAGTATAAGTTTGCATGATAACAGAAAAATATTTATTGCAAACAAAATATAATTTGGCCTATCTTAAACATTTACTCGTTGTTTCATTTAATTAAATTTACTTAGCCGATTGAACAGACCAAAATTAATTTCCTGCATTTTAATAACTAATTAATATTTGTCTTAATATAAATTATTTTAAAAAATGATATCGAGCTTTCATCAAAATTCATATATCCATTAAAAAAAATAAAGATATTGGGAAATGCATACGATCAGAGAAAACAGGTAAATTTAAAGGCTTCACATAATCACCTTTAATTTCAATTAGTGTTTCCCACTTGGATACAACAAGCATTTTAATTTGTTTCGATTTAATTTTAATCTAAATTTACTTCAATTTTAAGACAATCTAAATTATTTTTCTGTTATCATGCAAACTTATTGCATTGACAACAACACTTCCTTTTTTATTTAAATAATTGAATATGACAAATTATAATTGAATATGACAAACAAAGAGATTATTTAAGTTAATTAATAAAACCGATGTTGACAGTTCACACTTTTCCTTTCATTCATTCAACATTATCGGTTAATGCTTAAACATTCTAAGAAATTTTCAATGACAATTTAGAATTTTTTAATTTTTAAATCGAAATGTAAGAAAAATGAAAGTCTCATTGAATGAAATAAATATATTAATAAATGTGAAAATTTCTGCTTATATTTTGCTTAAAGTAAAAATAATGCTCATTAGAAAGAAGGAAAAAATAATGAACAAATGAAGCTGGATGATGGAATCAGATTACGCAGGATGAATTGAATCCTTAGATGATGGCAACTTCAAAGGGAAATGAAGTGAACTGTAACAGAATGCCTCCACATATATCATTTTACTTCAAACGCAAAGTCTTTGAAAGTGGAAATTGGTGAAAGCATTTGTTTGTATTGGCGCTTATAAATGAATCGAACAGCTGCCCTAAGCTGATCCATCTGTCTTATCATTTCTTATTTTAGATAAGCCAATCGACATTGAAACTTCTCTCTGTCCTCAATCTTATCCTTTCCATATTTCAGGTTTATTTGCTAAATAAATGAAATCTTTTAAAAATTGTCATTTTTTTCGTAATTATTTCTATCATATAATTTATAATAATTCCTTTCTATTTTTGAAAGTAAATTCAAATTTGAATTCAATAATCATTGAAGAACTTATTTTCGAATTTAATGGAAATTATGGAAAGCTGTCTTCAATCTAGCTATTTGCTTATCACTCAATGTTAAATTGTTTCAAAATGAAGAGTTTTTCTTTCTCAATTTTTTTGCCGATCATTGTAACAAGAAAATGTTCCTAGAAACAAATCAATCAACCAATTAATCATTTGTTAGCAATCCTATTAGCAACTAATGGCAGCTCAAAGAAATAAATGAAAATCGTTAATTAGCAATCATTATGATCAAAGATCAACAAGAATAATTGCCTATGCTTCTGAAAGAGCAAAAAGTAAACATTCTGATCTTTGCACACTCAAAAATTTGTAATATTTTCTTTCATCGTCGCTTGCTGAGAATGTTTTGTTTTACTTTAATAAGTTAACATTAAATTGGCAATAGAATTTCTCTTCGCTTCAATTTTATTTCTCCACCCACTAATGAAAATTTACGATGAAAAATAGTTTAGAAAAGTCAAATAATTTATTATTTCCAATAGAAGTGATTCATTATTTAATTATATTTATCTAAAAAACGATTTATAAAATGAAATGAACATGAAAATTTGAGGATATGTAAATCTTTTTATCCTAAAATCATTTTCTTTCTTTTCTTCAGTTTTAAAATTACACGGAAGTTTTATAATTTCATATTTACACATCGATTGCATTCCCGAATGTTTTTTAATTCAACTCTTATTTTCATATGTCGTTTATTTTCCGGAATGTTATATAATTCGATATTGAAGGTCGATGATTAATTTTAATGCTAATTTACTGCTCATATTCTATTGCAATACATATTACTTTCTTTGTCATTATTCATTTTAATTGGTGAGTTTATAATCCAATGAACTTCAATAAAGTTCTAAGTTTTCTTCTTTTCTTGATTTAAAGTTTGATTAAATTTTTTATTAAAAAATAGTCGCATTTTAAACATATCTTCTGAATCACTCCATTATTTCGGTAATACTTAAAATCTGATCCGGAAAATTAGTCTTGGAAACATTAACCGATTCACTATTCTGTCTTTTCCTTTCTTTTATCTTCTCATATTAGCATCATTTCTCACTTGCTATCAGCTGGCGTTTTCTTTCCGATTGAACTTTTCAAAATGAATTCTTATAACAAACTTAGTCCATTCCTATCCTTTCAACCATTTTGTCTTTGTTACACTTTGAAGCCAAAATTTCAATAAAATCTTTCAAACTTTTCCGAAGTCTTCATTTCTGCTAATATATAGCTATCGTTTAGTGCGATAAAAACGATATGACTAAAGTAAAAAAATCATCAATGCCTTTTCACCATTTTTGATAGTTAATGGATTGAGAATTAATTATCGGCATTATGACTAATTAAATAAGCAATTACATGAACAGGAAAAACTGATCAATAATCTTTTGGAAAAAAATTTTCACTATTTTATTATTTCCCTAAGTAGATTAAAAACAGAAAAAACGGATACATAACAAAATTTCACTGAGTGAAACTATCAAATATATTTTTGTAAAATAAACCGGAATGCTTCTCGAAATCAGCTAATCAAGAAAAAATACGAAAGAAATTTTCGAAATTAAAAAATGAAAGATTGTTGATTTGATAACTTTAAGATAATACAAATTTATCAATGAATTAGATTTAAGAAGTCTGAACTCTTCTTATATGAGAAGTTAGGCTTGTTCAGGAAAGTGCAATACTTTTCATATGTTATAATCCGGTAAAGATAGAAATTATGATGCTTTTTCTAATTTTTGTCTCGGGAAAACCGAAATCAGCTGATAAGCGTTTTAAATTATTTTTTCCCATTACTATAAATATGGTACCGTTATTTTTACATAATTTATCCAACATGTCAATCGTTTCATCCATTTTATTTGTGATTCATTTTTCAATTTAATTTCAAACATTAGAAAAATTTTAAAATAGTTTCCAGTTTTAAAGAATAAAAGCAATCTCTCGATTTTTTTTGTACTAAAAGTTTTTATTTCTTTTCAATCTTTTCTTTCCTTTTTTGTAAATATTTTTTAGATTGATAAATCAATTGACAGCTTGTTTTTATCATTAAGTAAGTATGATATCTTCAAAATCAAAGCTTATAAACCATTTTGTTAATAGCAGTGGTATTTCATTTTAAACTTCTATAACAAAATTTAAAAATCGAATCAATTAAAAAAGAAAGGAAGATTTTATCCTCAACTAATAATCATTGAATTTCTCTTAAAAGATCATAGCTTGTTTTTATGATTTTATTATGGTATTAATTCGATTATTAAATCCATATAAGTAATCAAATTCAATTTATTTCTGATATTTATATAACAATGATAAAATATTCAAATGTGCTAAATTTTTCATTGTCTTCTTTATTTGATTTATTCATATTATTTGCATATATTTTAATAAATTAATTGTGCAAATTTCTCATATATTTCTGTTTCATTTCTGTTGATTGTCGTAAATCATTAATTTTCATTCCATTCTTAATGAGTCGATTTTAATTATAATTTTTCACGCTTTGTTAACAATTTCAATCTAACACTCTCTTATCCATTTTGTTTCTTTAAAACACTTTCTCAACTTTTATTTCCAATAGAATCCCATATCTCTTAAATAATTCATATTAGTATTAAAGAAGAACAGATAGGAATGGTAAAACTGATATTGACTACATTGTATGAATATTTCAATGATAATGCAAGATGATTAATTTGTTTAGAAATTATTAAATCGTTGAAAATACCTTTTATTATTTCAAAATCATTAAAAAACTTACTTGCAACATTTATAGAATATTTTGGTTCTATCTAAAATATTATTAATTGAAGGAATTTCTCGAATTTCTTGAAATTTAATGGAAATAAATTCTTCATTATTTATTATTATTTCAGATGTAAAACACATTATGTTCGTTCAAATTATATATTGTTTTTCAATTGCTGTTTTAAACATCGCAATATGTGAAGTTGACACCAATGTACGTATCGCCGCTTTCTTACTAATTTGTTAAATAACAAAAAATTTAATATAATTTCTAATTTATTTAAATCCATATGAAAATTTTGTTAGTCATATCTTTCTTAATATTCAAATTTTTCAAGTTAACTTTCATTGTTTGCTGCAAAAATTAAATTTCTAAGAATAATTTTAAAAATTTACTTTCAATCAAAACTGTCACAAATGGAAAAGTTGAAATACTTGAATGTATAAGAAATGAAAATAAAAATAATAATTTTTGCAGAAAATTATCAGAGATTTAGAAAATGATTATACAATGGAAAATTATACGACAATAATGGAAAGGATTGGTTCATTCAATGAAACAATGAAAATCAAAGTTCATACTAACGAAGAGATTTTTAATGAATTAACTGTTTGTTTTGTTTCTTTCATTATTGATTTGATATAATATGATAGTATTAACTAATATATTGCTTTTTACATATGATATTTAATTTCATTTTATTTCTATTATTTTTAATTCAAAATGAATTGTTTGCAGAGTTTACATCAGAAATATCCACAGATAACGTATTTATATGAAATAGGCAAATCAGTGCAAGGCAGGCCACTGACTGTATTAGCTATTGGAAAATTCCCGATGAAGCATATCCCAGGAATACCGGAATTTAAATATGTTGCTAATATTCATGGTAATGAGGTAAATGTTTTTTCTCATCTTAAAAACTTTTGTAAATTAAGACTTAAATGATAGATTATCAGTCTATTTATAAAACTCTAATAATTACTACAAGAGAAAGAAATTTTTAATTTCATGGAATAGTTCAAAGTTAAATCAAAGTTCATAAACATATTTAGAGAAAAATACTAAAATTTTCTAGATATCAGGTCGAGAATTATTGCTTTGCTTGGCAAATGTTCTACTCGTAAATTACGGGAAAAATGAAGTACTAACAAGGCTTGTGAATAAGACACGAATTCATCTCTTACCAACAATGAATCCAGATGGATTTACGGAAGCTATTCCGGAAAGCCATGGTTGGCTTCAGGTCATTTCTTTACAGCATATTAATTAATTTTTCAGTCTCATTAAATTTGAGCCAATATTTCATAAAAATTGAAATGTTTTATTCTAAGCAAAAAATATTGCCAGAAATCTTCTGAAAATACAGTGTGCTAAAACAAATGAGATTATTCGTCTTTCCGTAGGATTCCTTCATTCATTCTTATAAACCAAGCAGTAACTTTTAATGAATCAAATAATTCGAATTTAAGGGTCGGGTGAATGCTGCTGATGTGGATTTAAATCGAGATTTTCCACAACGGTTGAATCCAACAATGATCCGAAATATTCAACCGGAAACTAGTGCGATTATAAAATGGACGAAGTATGGAACGAAATTGAACTTTTATTAAAATTTGATATCTTAGTAATTGTCATTGTCAAGCTTAACTGGTACCATTAATACTAGAGAAAATAATTTTGAAAATTCAGATCAATACCTTTCGTCTTGTCAGCAAGTCTGCATGATGGTTCTATGGTGGTTAATTTCCCTTATGATGACGGAAAGATTGAAGGTCTCGAGGAAAAAACAGGTGATCACGAACTCTTCGTGGTACTTTCTTACTTATATGCTCGAGCACATAAGTACATGTGGAAGAAGGTATATGTCAATATTGTTAACTTTTATGGCAAATAAATAAATGATTAATAAAAAATGTTTTAAGAGAAAATTTGCTCTTTTTACAATGTAACAACTGAAAGTTAGTTTCGTTTCCTGATCCTTAATTATCTTAATCATTTCTCTATCCCATCGTATACGTAATTTATTCTGTTTAATATCATTCTTGAAAATATTTCTGGAAGTTTAATTCGTTGTCTTCATCTAATGCTGCTAATATAAACGTATCATTCAGGGACCAAGATGTTTAAATCATCATGATGACGGCAATCTCAATGAAGGAATTACAAATGGTAATAAATGGTATCGCGTTTCAGGCCAGTTCTTTTCTCTTATCTTCGAATTGTAGCTTTGGTAATAATATTTAAATATGGTAGATTAATTAACCATTAGATTAATTGAAATAAAAAATTATTCCTTCAAGTTATGCATGTAAATTAAGGATTTTAATAAATCTGTATTGATAAGAGAAATGTTAAGAAAAGATTTCAGGTGGTATGCAAGACTGGAATTATGTATTTTCGAACTGCTTCGAATTAACAATTGAAATAAGTTGTACAAAGTATTCAACTGACGATCAATTAAAGGAAATATGGAATGAGCATAAATTTGCTTTAATTTCCTTTATTGAAAAGGCAACATTTTAATTTTCGGAGGAAAAAAAGGAACGTAATGAATAATATACTGTAAAAGATCGCTGAAATACTGTAGAAAATACAATAAGTAATGCTATAAATGTCATTAACAATTAATTTTTTGTTGTAATTATACTTTCAATTCTGATCATAATTTACAGATATTGAAAATATGCATCTTTTCAATGATCAACGATTAATAATCGATAACTTGTCTTGTAGTTTTGAATGGAGTAATTGACTCTAATCCATCTTTAACTAACAGAGAAATAAAATGACTATTTTTTGGCATTGATAGTTGCATGGAAAAATTTTCTTCCAGATTCATCATACGATTTCTGGATTTGTGTTGGATAAAATAACTGGTGCCGGAATACCGGATGTTCAAATTGCAATCAACAGTTTTGGCAAGATTATATTAAGTAGTACTGATGGTGACTTTTGGCGTCTAGTAATACCCGGTACTTATAATGTCAGCTTTCAGCATTTCAAGTATGAAACAGTTGTAAAAATTGTTACTGTGAGTAAGGAAAAACGCTATGAATTCCTTAATGTAACAATGCTCCAAAAAAGGCATGCTGGAAATTTCACCGAAGGTTATTTAAATAATTCTCAAATTAGCAGTGCTTGTAGTTCCTTCACAATTTTTATAATTTTCCTCCAAGTTTCATTTCTTCCATTTATTAATTTTCTCAACCTTTAATTTTATTAATTAGGCATACACAATATTATATTGTTAATCTTATTAGGCTGAACAAATTCGAATAATAGCAAAAATTCCAAATTAACATTAAAATTTTTTTATTGTGAATAATATTTAATGAGTGTTTCAATTCATTATTGTTAACTTTTATCGTTGAAATTGTTTAGTACAATACACCTTTGCTTTTATTTATAAATTTGTTGCCAAATTTTTTCACTCATATTTGCAATTTAGTCGGCATGTTTTGAAGCATATATTTTTTTTCCCAATTAATTGCATAATTTATTTTTTTATGTAATAATTCTAACATTCCAAATTTTACTATTCGGTTTTATGATTTAAAAACTCTGAAATCTTTTTAATTGCAGAACTTGGAAGGACGAACATTTTGTTCCAAAATTTGACTTTGTTGAAAGTTGATAAAATAATAGAAGCTTAGGATCAAGTTCAAAATATCTATAAGAAATAATTATCATCTTATGCACAATTATTTCGATGAAAACTATTTGAATTGACCAATCAAAAGAAAAGCGTAAACGGACAGCTATAATTTTGAATCTCAAAATGTTATAATATTCAGACCATCTTCAACACTTATGATAATTTATATCGTAAAATGCCACGAATCCAAAATAATTTTAAAAAGTATGTAGCAATAAATCACTTTCAATAAATCAAAGTTTCTATTTCTGTGCCTTTAAGGGATAACTCTCTTAAGTGCGTTTAAAAACAATAAAAAAATTCATTCATCATGAAGTTCTTAAAATTTTTCCTTTTCGAAAAACGAAATTAAAGCTGAAGGACATTTCTCAGTTATTTCGTGGTCAAACTATCTTTAATACATCAAGTAAACAAAATTTTAAACACATAATTAAGATAACAAGATGAAGAGAGCTTCACTTAACAACAAACAATCCATGCATAGCGGAAATTCAACAATTAAAATTTGTTTAGTCATCGCAGCAAACTGTTGTGACAGCAATATACATATTATCAAATTAATATTATTCAACGATTTTTTTACTCTAAGAAAGGTAAAAATTTGAGTTACAAAAAAGTCATTCATTTTTTGATAAAAATCATCAATTAGTGAAACTAAAAGTCATTCATTCATTATTCATTTCATTTCATTTCATTCCATTTCATTCCATTTCATTTCATTACATTCATCCATCCATTCATTCCATTTCTTCGTAACAGAAATATAATCGCTTTTCTTTTGCTATTTACGGTTTCACTTATTTTGTTTTCTGTAATTCGATCCATTCATTAAATAATTAAATGACATTAACAAATTTCTCAAAAAAAATGTGCCCAAATCTAAATTATTGCCAATGCTATATCGTTGTTAATTATAATTATAGTTAATTATCGTAAAAGAGTTAAATCGGAATTGAAATTATTCTCACAAAACGAAAACAAATAAACGGAAAAGGAAAAAAAGTGAAGTTTACTTACATTTATTTGATTTTCAAAGTGAAAATTCTCTTTATTCAATTGCTATTTTATAATTTCAATAAATCTGATAGAAAGTAAAATTGAATTAATTTCTATTTTCAACGAATAAAAATTGCTAAATCAGGTGGAAATGACCTCACATCTCTGTTTCCCTCCAGCATTTGTTTGCTCTTTCTTCCGTTTCTCTTGCTCTTTGCTGGATGTTACCATACTGCCATGCAATAACTGCATGCTATTATTTTATTTATTTTTGTTGTCTAGCCTCATTGTCCACATCCATCCATATATGCGTTTATCTGTCTGTCTTTTCCTAATGTCATTATGCGATTTCATTCAATGTCTATTCCTTTCAGCAAAATTTGAATGCAGAAAAGATGAGTGGAAGTCGATGACATTTATGACCATCGGATATTAACAAACCAATGCGACACGCATGACATTCTTAACTCTCACATTTTTCTCACTTCCATTTTGATCTTTCTATCCTTTTAATCACTGATAATATCAGTTACTCTTATCTTTTGAAAATTCTTGTCATTTTTAAATACACATTTCAAAATTATGCTTATTCATTTTGTTTTTAATTTTGCCGATTTCATTTACATTAATCTCTTCCTCTTCCCTTCCAATTGTGAATAAATGAAAATGATTCGTCGGTTTGGTGATTAGGGGAAGATATCCCCGACCATTGGGAGGTACTTATTTGGAAAGATTTCCCCGATCATTGAGAGATTCTTATTCATCTTTCATTTAAATTTTGATGATTTACGTAGGTTAGAGATGAAAAGTTAAGTGAATTTGCTAACTTTAATTGGCTTTGAAGTGTTATTTTCTTCATTGGGGTCAAAATTAGAAATAATTTCAAAGAAATTTTCTTCTTTGATGAAATATATAATAAAATTTCTAACATTTCTTCCTACTATAATTTCATCTAAAATTGATGTTCACTTACTTCAGTTTAATTTAACATGCGAAGGCTAGCTAGCTAACAACAACAACCTTAACACAGGTGATAATTGAATATTTCTAATGCTCGGACAATTAGCATATGGGGAATACTTCTCAAATTGTAATGATTAAAAAGAAAAATTATTTTAAGGAATAGTTTTTAGAGATTAAAATAGTTGGCGAGCTAATTTTCTCATTTCGCCAATACATTGAAAAATATTCATTTAAATAAAATATTAAAATTTTTTAAATTGAACTATTATTCATATTCATCAAAGCAACTTATCTTATCATAGAAAACATTCATTCATTTATTGACTACAAAATTTCTCTGTAAAAGACAAAGATAATATATTGCAGTAAGATTGTTCGGATGGAATGGATTGCTGGAATTATTTTAATTTTATTGTATAAGTAAAAACCGTTTTCCTGTCCGTTTTCCTTACATCTACCAAAAAAGCCTGATGATCTCTGAAAAGATTAATTCTATTGCTCTTTTTTCTTTGGCACAAAATGAGGCCGATGACCTCTGGAAAAGTCAACATAAATATTTTATTAG